GGGTCAGCTAGTAAAATATATAAAAATCAATTGCTGTTCGTTCGTTTCGCTAAAACTGGAGAACGGCTGAACGGATTTATCTTTTCTTGGTCTTGAAATGTTAGTGGAGGTCTAGGGAAGGTTTAAAAGGTGAGAAAAATAATTATAAAAAAAGATAAATTTAAAAAATCAAAATACCCCGACTGTTTAAAAATTACTTTAAATAAAAACTGAAAAGAAAACAACAAGTCCAGTAGTCTATAATTCTGTTAAGTAAGGAACAAAGCTACTTTAACAGTCGGGACCTATTGGATATTCATTTTTGGATATTTTTTTTTCAATAATGGCTCCTGACTGTTAAAGTAGCTTTGTTCCTTACTTAACAGAATTATAGACTACTGGACTTGTTGTTTTCTTACTACTCTACACCGAAGCGAAGCGAGGGCGGGCCACTAGTCTTATATAAATAACTAGTTTTTATTGACGTCATTAATATCATTTTGTCGTTTGTTCGTAAATGGAAATGACTGACTGTTGAGAAATGGTAACGTTGTTAATGGCACCCCGGCGCACGCAGAAAATAAGGTAAACTTGTTTAAGAGTTCTATTAAATGCTATGGAAGAAGTTTAATAGTCTTAGTGATGAACAAGAAGCGCTTATTGAGTGTAAATGAGTTGTAAACAATGTAAGAAATCTGCGGTGACATGTGTGAACGAATAGTTTTTTCAATGGTCTCATCTGGTCGCTCGTAATGTTACTTTGTGTCTTGTGCGTACGTTCACACCTACATGCCTGTTAATAAGAAAATTCTAACCAGGGCCGGTTTCGTATTTGAATTTTAAGGCTTGACAACACGCGTGTGTACTGCTTGTGTTGTAGGCATCCTTAGGCCACGGTGACCGCTTACCATCAGTCAGCTTGGTTGTCTTCCATAATTATGTTACGAAAAAAGCTAATTGTACTTATATTTCTTCGGGTATTTCATAAGGAAATATCATAATAACATGTTTCTCAGATCGATTTTTTATCGAATCATTCCGGAAATACATAAATACTGATAGCGATTGTTCAATCTACAAAATTTGTTTTTTTGTAACAGAACTTTGAAAAAGATGCGTAGCAAATTAGCGGCTTTGCATATGTACACACATGTGTATATTCTTTATATATATAATTCTTCTGTGAGTGTGTATGTCACTGAACTTCTCTTAAACGACTGGACCGATTTTGATGAAATTTTTTGTGTGTGTTCAAGGGGATCTGAGAATGGTTTAGATTCACAATTTTGTCCGCTGGACAACCCCTATTTTTTTAGGGCGGTACGAAGTTCGCTGGGTCAGCTAGTTTACTATATATATTTGAAAATCATAAAGGCGATATTTCTCTTAATGCATTTACTTGCATTGTATACTTAGGAAACTGTACCTAAAGCAAAAATAAGCGAAAAAGTATCTGTATTGCCATCGCCAAAGTTTCTATCGAAGGATCTAGTTTATTCTTATGTCCGGTAGGGGCGCTGCTTAGTTTCCATAGAAACTTTGACGATGGCGATACGAACACAGATCTGTCAAAGTTCATGCTTGGGGTACTGCTCTACTAAATAAAAATATAGGGTTGAGTTTTGTTTGAAACATGTACTATATTTCAGTGTATAAAATCAATAATCCCCTGAATCTAGCATCTATTGCATCTGATTACATTATTATTTCATCAGTCCATAGCGTGCAATGGACCACGCACGAATTTTATGCGATTTTTGAGAGTTTATTATTTTTAGCGTATCCGCCATGACGGTCGTGTTGTATGCACACATGGCCAAGTGACGTCATTGCTTCAAACACTGGCTTCCTATATTGTGGGGTAAGATTACTAAAGATCTGTGTGTAAGAAATTTTAGGTCTTATAGGTATAGGATCCTGCCCCATTATTTTAAGAAGAAGGTCTACGACCGTTCCCAATGATGATTTTAAGTCACGTTTTGTCCAACGCTATTGTTAAAGCGAAAAAAGTGTGAGATTTAACTTTTCGATTAAAAAAGTTTATTGACATCATTCATCATTGCCATAAGGAGTGATAGCGCCAAATTATAGCCGTTGAATTAGGTAAAGTTTTCGATAGCTTTCTTCAATTAGTCCGGGAGGCACCAATCCTGAAAGCTCCGTGATCACTCTAGGATCTAGTGCTTTAAATGTTCTTTAATAACGCAACAGTACACTCAATCAATCGTCACTATATCACTAAAATCGACACAATATCACCAAAAAATCAATATCTGTGTAAAAAATCAAAAGATGTACAAATATTAGAGGGTTTGACAATTTTAAATAATTATAAATAAAAATCGAAAGTTTTTTTTAAATATTCAACAGTGAATTTTGTTAAATTAATAAATATGTAAAATAACGACACTTTTGACAGCTAGGAAAACAGCAGACTGAAATGTCGAAATGATCTGAACCCCCAAAATGCTGTAAGACAACGTGGTATGCTGTGAACTTTTCGGAGTAAGAGCGAAAGACCTATGGAACTTTAACATAAATTCGATATTACTCTTATCTCACTTACTCTTGGAGCTGTCTTATGGACTTGAAAAGAAACCGGAGTAAGAGAGTTAACACTATGCAGCCCTGTCGTAGAACAACCTCACTTTACGGTATTGTGTATCTTTGAGGCAGGTAAATGTCAAATTCGTAGGGAATAGATAGAGACGAACTCATGCAAGGTTTCAACTTGAACCAAAAATCTGCCTCACTCACTCTTTACAGAAATATAGAAACCGTTAAAAAGCGAAGAGTTAAAATTTGGTATGCGCGATACTTTCGGCAGTATGTAAGCACGCATACCAAGATAATTATAAAGTGATATTAAAACGCGTAAATTAAAAAAAACAAAAAAAGGTTTCCGTGATAATGGATAAATTTTACCCCTTATCACACCATTCAAATAGGTATGCGTGACCTTTCCGGGTAAAAATCATTGGTCGGCCGGATTTTTTCTTGTTGAACATAATATTTCACACAAAATTCTATATAAGATTGATCAAAATCCGTGATGACGGAAAAAAATATGGCAATTTAATAATAAACAATTTAATTAAAATATTTCCGGCCAATCAAATCCACGCCGACCAAGCAAATATTGTTCGTCTAAACGTTAACTTTATTTTTTTATTAAAAATATTAGAATCCGTGATCACGGAGCTTTTTAGGATTGGTGGCTCCTCGCCTAAATGCAAGGTTTTATTAATAGGATACTAGTTCCGTGTGCTACGTTTCTTTTTTTATTGGTCTCCAAAATCGACTTGTGGAAATGACAAAATAATAACAACAGTATTGCAAATATTATGAATGCAAACACATCATGCGACTTTTATAAATATGTGAAAATCCTTTTATAATATTAATTTTATATGTTGGCAAATATATGTACACAATACAACCCTTATACTAGCATTTGTAAGATGCTCTCAGTTCCTTTCTCTGTTTCAATGATTTCACAAAAAAAATCCTCTCAAATAATTGTTAAGCAGTCATGTGTGCGCAATGATAGCTACTAAAATGCACACTGATTGTATTGCTCTTGTTCTGGTTAATTTATTTGTTCAGTTGGCGACACCCTGTCTAGCCGACTATCCGGTTTTTTTCTCTTTTTAGTCTCTTCCTTTATAATTTTGTTTTAGGTAATCAAGTGTCGCCGATTTATTAAAATTTAGATCCTTTACAAATAGAAATAATTGGCTGTTAATCTAACTGTAGATATATGAAAGAAATTAAAGATCCCTTGGGATTATTAAATAAGAAAACAGCTATACCACGGTGTCAAAAAACCGGAGCAGAACTATATACAAAAATAAATAGTTTTGTAACATATGATTTCTTAACAGTTCAACAGGGAATACACCCGGTTAGAGATCCCAGTCAAAATTCTTTGGATACTGGTTCACAACAAGCGTAGTATCTGGGTCGTACCGAAACGCAACCGCGTAAACTTGAAAATAGAATCTATTTATAGCCGACAAACACCAAAAGTTTCTGTGGTTTTACACGCGTGCAATTCAATATTATATTTAACTCATATCTATTGTTATTTCTTGGTTATAAGCCATGTAAATCATCGCTGTAACAGCAATCAAAGTAGTAGACTAGTAACTTTGATTTTATTTGTTATTTATCAAATAAGTCCCTATGCTGCGGTTGACGTAAAATGATTTTAGGTGAACCGCAGTGTCCACGGTATACATTTTCATATATGAGTCTTTTAGTTACTATTATAATTTTAATAGTAACGCAATCGTATTTCTGTGATTGTAGTTTAGGCTTTTGAATTGGAATTAAGTCCGTTTAAAGTGTTGTGTATTCCAATCCATTTGGCCTTACAATTCTTTTGTGTAGGTTGTTTGATGCGCAGGAGTGTTATATTTAGAATAGCCCACGTACCAATACCTACCTGCACAGGCGGGGCGGTCTTGCCTCCCATACACTTGCCAACGACAAGGAGCCGATAAGTGATCGATGGCAGTATTTGCAACAGAAATTGCCAAATTACCTAACTGTATGACCAATCAAAGAATACATATTATGTACATATACTGTCGGAGTCACGGTCAATCTGAATGGGAATTAAATTGAGTCTATACAATGATTCCGAAAAGGCTTACTAGATAGTTCTTCAAGGTGAAAATAAACCGCTATCTTTTAATTTCAAGGGAAACAGGATTTCTATAGGAATATTATACAAATCTGGAACAGAAAAACGGTTCCATAACGGCCTTAATTTACAAATGGGTCTGGTTTCGATGGTTTACAGAAATAGTAACATTAGTAGAGGTAGGGATTGACTTCTTTTGATGCGGAAAAGTGATAATACTTCTTTGGGCTAAATCTGGCAAAGGACAATGGTTCCATAACGGCCTATATTTACAGGTGATTCTTTGTTCACGTGGCCGTGTGGATGTATCCCCTCTTACGTGCGCCCGCGCTGCACGTCACTGGCGTCTCGCTCGCGCAGACTTCGGCCCAACACGCGTGGGCGCCGACAATATTTTCACTCGCGTAGAATTATAAAACTCGGAACACAGTGTGTTTTCATGTCGCGCGCCGATCGGCCACACCAGGCTCGTTTCATTCCGCGTTTCAGTGACATGTACAATGAGTCGAAAACAGGATAGGTACAGTTCGCGGCCCCGGAGTCTCACCGGGCATTATGGCTCCTCACCGAGCATGCTCAGTCAATACAGTCCTTCCTACACAAACAATTATTCTAATTACTCAAGTCCTAGCGCGTACAGGAACTACAACCCTTATACTGCAGGGTTCGGTAGGCCGTCGTCCAACTTGGGTATATACGGGGGGACGAGTTCGGGTTACGGGGGTGTGTATTTGAGCGGTGCGACTCTCGGTTCCTTGAATTTGATGACTCCGGTGTTGAAAAAGTTAGATAAGAGGTTGATAGCGAGTCAAAAGAACTTTAAGCCGAAGCCGGTGCCGTTAGCCCCGGTGAAGGCGGTGGAGGTGCCCCCGGAGGCCGAGGCGCCGCCAGTGAGGCCGGAGCGTAAGGGCCGCAAGGCCATCGGCCTCAGCAAGGAGAAATCACGGTCTCTCACCTCATTGGAGACGCTTGGAGGTCTCAACTCTAGGACACTTAGCCTGAATTCCCTCGCTTCAGATGGATATTGTGTATGTTTAAATCTTATTCTATGTATTGTTTATGATTAATCCTGCCTTTACATGTGTAAACTTAATATTATATTAAAATATAATGGCGGAGTTCGATGACTTTTCTCAAAAGTTTATACTACCTATTATTGTAAACGTAATGATTGTATAATGTAATGGCAATTATGAGTTAGTGCGGTAATTTCTATGCTTTTCTAATAAACCCTACTAGAATATTACTGAGCCCATTCATAAACATCCGATTTTATTTGAATTCTCACAAGTTGTACGATCTGTTGGTCGGCTTACGTATGAACGGTAAGATTGATTTATCGACTTGGTGGCGTTGAGGTTTGGCCGAAGGCACGCGACAAATATGACACTAATCTTTACGGATTGTGTTCGCCTGCACATCATGTGCTTTGCGTTGCTATGACCCAGGTGCCTTGTTGATAAGTAATAACGAATATTGTATTTTCGAAAATCACACACGGGAATTTGTTATTTTTAAATACATAAAGACATTGATGGTTTCGCAATTGGGCTAATGTTTCCTACATTGTATCGATAACCAACTGTCTTGTTTTATATACGAATATTTAAATTTGAATAAATTATGGTCCGTGATGCTGTCAAGCGACATCTATTAATATATTAGGCTTTGATCTACGAATCTGACATTTTATAGGATATATTATTGACAATACGTGTCCACCTATTTTTATATACCTAACAGTAACTCATTCCAATAGTTTTGTAGTTTCATTAAAATCACTGCTGACATTTCGTTTAAGTGATTTGTATACGACTTTTCATAAAAAGAAAAAATAGTAAAATGATCATGACTGTAGCTAGCTGTAGGAAAGACCTAATATACTCTACATATTTATTATTGGCTATTGTGACATACCATAAGGCAGGTCATTTGCCTGTTTACTACACTTTTAGATATTTCTGTGCCTGCCAAGGGCCGTTAATTATTGGTGAATTCAGTTAGAAACTTTTAAACTCTTGGTTTGGCAGGGTATTTGTATTGAATAGGCCCGTGAGCGTCATAGGTTCTCAGACTGATTTTACACACACTAGAGATTCCCACAAATACCTTAGCGAATGCAGCGGCAATTTTCTTTTTTAATCAAATATGTACATCTAAACAATACAAAGTATGACAATAGACTGCGTTATAGAATATTGTGTCAATGAACTGTTAAGCCGGGGTACTCATTAGGGAGCTGTAACCGTAACCGTTGCATGCACTGTAACCAAAAAGCATAGGTGTACGTGGTTCGCTAACCTGCTGCGAGCGGTACGCGTGCGGTTTGCAGCGAGCCGACGTATACAATTGAGCTACAAGCGTACACACTAGAACCTCGTACTGTATCACGCATGACGCATGTTACGGTTACAGCTAGCGAGCTGTCAGCGTCATTAGCGAATGAGTACCCAGCTTTACGCAGGATTGCATGATATTTGTTCGGGTCAACAAAAACAAGAATGTTTTATCTTAACTTTTTGATGTACCCGCCTGATGTTGAATGGCCATGCAGCTCAACCCACAGTCGCTCGCGATACCAGAATATCAAATAAACATCAATGTTTTAAAAGACATTATGGTATTTGTAACGTATTTCTTTGCCCTTTTACATAATCTACTTTATCTAATATTTTTTTGACAAATAAGCCCCATATATGCGATCATGTTTAAAGTCTTATAATGATAGATGAAACAAATAAATATTATGTAAGGATCTGATTGAGTACAAAGGAATGAACTGTGCCTACATAATAGAGAAAGTTGTGGCTTTTTGTAAGTATGCTTACGGTTTAATTTACCAGTTTAATTATATTTCATTTTTCACACTTATATATACTGACTATGGGTGTAAGCGTTCTTAAATGTTTTGTAGGGTTTAATTTAATTTGCCACTGCAATCATAGCCAACTTTTTGCAGAGATCTTTGCTATGGGAGAATGTCATGCCTTTGTGTATATACTCGTATGCATCAAGTTTAATTTACCACTTAATTCATAGCCAAGTTTTCGCAATGATTTCTGTTTGCTACGGGAGAAAGTCGTATCTTAATGTATGTTTCTCTGGTGATGTGCTTAATGTATGAAGGCATAAGGTTTGATATACCACTTGCATTATTTTCGCAGTCTGGCAGCGAACGCACAGAGGATGGCGAGGATCGAGACTACAAAGTGTTGTACGAGGCGTCTGCCAACGAAGTGCGGCGTCTCCGAGCCCTGCTGACCACGTCCGAGCAACAACTGCGCGACGCCCGCGCCACAATCACCAGGCTTACGCAAGTGGTACGTACACAGGGTGTACGATTTACCACCGCAACATAAGTTCTCCCACCCGAAAGTGGAAAACGCTTTGAAATTAATTCGTTATGAGGCCCAACCACGAGTTTTGAAAAACTTTGGCGATTACGATAATTTTCACAAATAATTAGACGAAGCTGCCAAAACCTCGTTTGATTACTAGAATTACTTTAACGTCACGTTGTTAGCAACTCATAGAAAATGACTTGACAGTTCGTTAGTTATGCCTTGATCACGTGAAAATTAAATGCCGTTCAAAAATGAAAATATCATACATTTGACGTTTTGATTCACGCTAAACGCTAACAAACATAAACTATATAATTGGCTAGTCCCCATGACCTGACTGTTTTTATAAACTGCGATTCAAACTACGACGGCTGTGAAGTTAGCAGCGACCGCAACTATGATCTACTATGAAAAAGACTTTAAAGCTTTTGCGTGTTCAATTCTTTATACACATGATGTGTTTTTTTATCTTGTAACAGCAAATATCTTTAATCTCATTAATCTTAAGTTTAGCTGAATTCTGACGTAAAGTCAGTTTATACAGCAGAAAGGTGCCTAGCTTGCCACCTTGAAAATGCTTCTTCATATTTTATTTAAAAATGTTTTGGTTTGTAGAACGGAGGGGGGAACGCATTTGAGGACATTATTTTTGTGAATAGTGAAACGTAACAAATAACTCGCTTATTCGTAAACTTAAGTATAAACGCTACAGTCGATGGCATCGTAGGCTAGCACTTGTAGTCCACAGAAAAAAAATGAATAAAAATTACTTAAAACCCTTTCTGGCATAGAATATGTAGACTAAACACAACAAAAGTGCCCATCTATACATGGGAAATTGTGAAATTCAAAATGGCATTTGAGGTGTACGAGAACGGCCGTGACATATGATCTTGCCCGCTGTGTCCTTACCCTGTTTCAAAACGTTTGTCAAATATACACCCACCTACCAGACTAATTATCCTCACCTGTTGACGGAAACATCTCATTATTCATTTTAAATACACTTGTCAAATTCTACCTTACGCTGACGTTAATAAGATCTGTCTACAGTGTGACCTTCCCAAAGTGATTGCACCTTCTCACCTTATTATTAGTTGAATGCCGCTGATCTTCAAAATTCACTGGCGTTATTTTCGTAAAGCTTTGTTCCCACGCTCAACTTTTGCAATAGCGAATTTAGCGATTTTTTTTATTGTTGTCATACATTTTGCTTACATTGCGAAATCCTATTTATATTTTATACTACGCATATTAAAAAAATATCGGAAAGCTACAAGCTTAATTTTTTTTAATAAAATATAGCTAGAATGCTATATGCTTAGCCATTATGTCGTTATGAATATTCATGCGCATTCTAATTACATGAATTATTTCCATTTTTATGTGAGTATTGTATTACCTATGTGAATTTGTTTGCCGTTATTGCAAACAGTTATTTAAAAATGCTCAAAAAACTTTTCTTCTTTGTTTGCAGAATCAGAATTCGTTATCTGAAATCGAGAAGAGGGAAAAGCGCGCCATGGAGAGAAAACTATCCGAAATGGAGGAGGAACTTAAGGTAACAACACCTATTTTTTCGTTGTGACATATATTATGCACATTACATTAGCCTTGGAACATACATAACACTCGTACAATTTATAAAATTCAAACAAACGGATAGTTCATACAAGATGGCGGGAACACAAGATGGCGTCCGACCGCCTGGAATGGACTGAGTTGTAATGTTGGTGTTCGTTTTGTAGCAATTGCAAAAACTAAAAGCCGAGAACGAAAGGTTGAGAGCTGAGAACCGCGCGCTAACGCGGGTCGTCAGCAAATTGACCAACTCCGCCGCAAAATAGGTAAATGTGCATAGTATGCGCCGGTGCAGTGGCGGCCCATCGCGGCGCGCTGGCGTACTATTCGCTTTGTTGTTTCCGAGCTCACTAGCTGACTAAGCATTTGTTACTACAACGAAACTAAACGCAACATAACACAATGTGTAGACAAATTGTAATTCATTTGTGTGTTTAGGTTTTCTTTTTTCGCATATTATGTGTAATGCTTTAGGATCTATTTGTGAAGCTTTCAAGTTTTGGATATTGCTAACCTTAATAGCTTAAAACTGAGCTAATAGTATCATTAAATACCATTTCAGTCAAGTGAGATATGTTGATTAAAAGTTGCATAATATTAAAGGTTAATATTAAAAGTTGCATAATATTTAAATCCACTGAAATGGCATCGGTTTGTTTTTGGCAAAACGAAATTACTATAGCCCTAACAAAGTGGCTATTTTCAAACTTCTAAGTGTTAAATTTTACGTCGGGTTGTGTGAGCGAGATAACTAGCCAATAGTATGCGCGCGTGAGCAGTGTAATATTAACCGTGTGTCAGTGAGCATGATTTAGTACGTGTCTAACTTGAGATCGGTGCGCGCGCGTTTCCAATGCGTCGTGTTTTATCAGGTTGCCATTGTGAACACATGTCTTACCCGTTTTTTGTAAATTTGTTTGCGAATGTGGAGTCTTTAACAAACATCTTTTAATCAAAAACCGCCTCTTTTCAAATCGTTGACTAAAGTAAGGCTTGGTTTTACACCTAATGCTGTCTCTGTCTTCTTTGTAGCAAACAAAGGTGACAGCATAATCTTTAAATCGGATTTTAAGTTAGTCAATGTTTTGTAATAAGGTGATAAGATTTTAGCGATTTGTTTTGTTAAATAATGAACATCATTTTGTTTATTGAAATATATGCATTGTTTGTCGCGTCAATTGTTTTTCTAAATGTGCATTCATTTTCTACGCATAAATTAAGCTGTGTGTTTACTGAATAAACACGACGCTCTCACAGCATCGACTGCAGTGTGTGCATGCGTGGCCGTATTTGCGACGCGACGGCACCCTTCACCCATTGGGTGTGACTGCTCACTGGTGCGTTCCGATTCCAAAAGACCGTAATACCGACTATCGCCTTTGAATGCAACAAAGTTTAAGGTTATTAAGCTGGAATTCCCTTGTGTTTCCCTTAAGGGAATATCAGCCATTGAGAAGCGAGTGTTGCTAGTGTCTAGAAACGAATGGAGAGAATATGCTCACTAGCTGTATGTTTATGTAACTGTATTATTTTGTTTCTATTATTGACAGTGGTTTTAACCCTACCTCGCTTTTTAGCGATTTAACAGTTGAGCTGCTTTTTGAAGGTTTTACATTCCAAAAAATTAAGTTACCTATATAACAAGTAGGCAAATCAGCGAGGTATTATAGGTTGTGTAATTTGTAACGCAGCAGTTGGCGTCACATCAATTTATAGACACAGACACGTTTTATGCGAACTGCGCACACACACATTTCACAAAGAATCGTCGAGTTGCGGTCGGATAATAGCATACAAGTGATTGTAGCATACATCGTACAAAGTGTAAAAAATAAAAAATAAAAATACCAGAAAAAGTTCACTCGGTTCAGGTGGCAGGCGGAATTATTTTCTCCTTAAATTAGCTTTAGCTTTATGAATCAAGTAGATTAATGTTTAAAATAAAAATTTTAAAAAATGAATCATTTATCGACAGCTTGCTTATTGCTATAGAAGCATACTATAAAAGTATTATATACAGAATGTTCCTCGATCGATTGGTAACATTCAGTTCAATACCATTGTTTTATAACAAATGATGAGGGAATAGTTCTGTTTTGGCAGTTAGTTATGGGCTATTATGTCATAAGACTGTCATATTACTTCATCTAAGCCAATATGAAAATGTGTTTAGTCCTGTGAAAGCAAATTAATACCAAATATTCATGTTGGTTGATTGTTAGCGGCGTTGCGTTTCTTCACACTCATTTTAATAACGCAGTGACCTGATGAATAAAAGGCTAAAGCACGGAAATTTATTATATATTTTAGCTATATATAACACGAGCTATTACAGAAAATAGTCAAAATGGCGTATACTTCCGCACACTATTCTGTGTGCGAAAGGGACAGTAGGCCATCTTAGATTAATTTATTTACTGGCGCGACATACCTTATTTGGCAAAAAAATACATGAATGCCATATTTTAGGGCTGCGATTTTTGTACTTTAATAAATTGTTAATTATTACTTTCTACACGTCACTTTAACGTCATTGCATCTTGCACAGTTATGTTATAAAAGTCTTTTCGTAATTTTCAGTAATGAATCTTTGTGGGTAACTTTTTTCAAAACTGGTAACTTTTGCTGCTATAGGCTGAGTGTAATTACTTCAACTAAAGCCAAGTCAGCGGCTTCCTATTGGAATTGCAGACGAATCCTATAATAAATTTTAAAGTACCATGCACGTGCAAAAAAGCTTTGACTACAAGTGATATAAGAAAGGAGAGCTACACAAGACACTAGAGCAGTGGCGTCACAACGTGTCGGGGGCCAAGATCCTCTTCGGGTCGCTGAGTCAGCGGAGTAATAGTAGCTTTATAAAATTAACAAACACTTTCAAGTTATTAAAAACTTTAGAAACGTATATACCTTTTATCTTGATTTAACATGTATAATATTCGTATACTACATATTTATACGTGCTTTCTGGATAATGATAATTAAAAAGAAAATTTTAAGTTTGATCTTATTGAAAGCGCTTTATATCACGCTTTGGAAGTATTTTATTAAATATTATTAGTTTCTATAAAACGTTAGTTTTCTTATATTTTTCTTCAAATAAAAAAGATAGTTATATAATTAGCTAATTAATTGCATTCAGAGATGAAACAACAATATGTTGCCAGTACCAAAAACTAAGAACCATTTATACCACAGCAATAATTGATTCGAGTTCTTGGGATATTTAAATAAACTGAATAAAAACCATCACCGCTTTGTACATAAATATTGCATTTGTCATCTAATCTATTATTTCGTCTTGTTTTTATTCGTCAATTATTTTGTGATAATGAATTTAGTTGTGTGACCACATTATCCTTTGACAAGTCCTAGAGTGATCATACCCTGCTCTCGTAGAATATCGTCTTAATCCTTTGTAGGTGGCACATTGAGTGTATAACTTCTGTTCACAAACTATTATATCCTTTATTACAAAACTGATAAAGCTTATTTTTCCATCGCATTACAGTATCAGCAAGCGCTGCAAGCAGAGAATCAGCGGTTAAAAGACGAGAACGGAGCGCTCATCAGAGTCATAAGCAAACTGTCTAAGTAAGATGGCCGTGTATAACACTCAATAGAATATGTACGCTTCCTATGTGAAATATACAAATTATCGATACACAGCCTAGTTGCCTATATTATTATTGAATAAGAATTATGAGCACTGGACAGTTCGCGAATCAATTTGTTGTGACCTATTGATACGGCACAGATTGTAATTGTTGTATATCGCCACCTCTGTCTAGTTTCATGGTTTGACGTGCCTTCTTTTTATGAGTATTATGTACTTATTATATCGTCAGATGTACTTATGGTCGGCGGACAAAATAAAATGTGAACGATATATGTATAGTGCACCGTCACGTTTGCACCATAGACGAATGAATGAATTGAGTTTTTTATATATAAAAAAAGTTTATCTATAATATATACATAATTTAATGATAATCATGTTGTTCTCGAGGTGTCCTTTTGTGTTTATATTTCGATGTAGTCCTAAATGCGGTAAGTGTAAATTAGGTTAGTCCATAATAAATTGTTTTGGGCGGTTTGAACGGTCGCCTCTATATACTTTGTGTCGTTATATATCTCGAATTACTAATATATTCTTATGTATACATATATTTGTATTATAATATAGTGTCTTTAAGAGCATTAGTAAAAACGAATTGGAAATGTGATATATCAATTTTGCACGATTGCGGACATGTTAATAAGGTATTTTAATTAATTACGCGGTGATCATCCGTGCTCTGTTTTTGTACGTTAGAAGTAAGCGAAAGTGTGGTTGATTTCATACAATCGCGTTGAGAAAGGTTTTCCAACAACTGTAAAATTTGTGATGTAAAAATATTTATTACGCAAGAATTATAATTATATCGCAAATGTGTTTTTATCTATTACTTTGATAATTTTGTTGATAATGTAAGAATGTAATTTTAAGTGATTATTATTTCCACGTAATTGTCATATTTTGATGATTTATTAAACACTGACAAAAATGACTACCAATAGGATGTTTACTTGTATTTATTTATTTAGCGATATAATTTTTATGTGCCATAGATATTTGAGCGAATTGTATGCCAGAGGACAAATAAATATTTTTTTTTTTGCATTTTACTTTCCGATGAAATTGATTTTGAAGAAATCTGCATGGTTCCGCTTACTGCTAACTAATCGGCCACCAGGATGTCCATGAGTCGAAATTTTCACCAATTATATGAATTGATTTACACGGTATTTTTTGTATCGACTGTATTTTTACAACTTGACTCTATATGAATCAAAGCAGGAGACAGATCAAAACTGTTCTTACTTAGTTTTTTTTGCTGGTACTTCTTAGTTCACATTAGATACCGCCGTAAATATGTGTGTTTATTCGACTTTGACAAATGTTGTTTTTAAATAATTAATTGGCTATTTTACTTTAGAATTGATAATTGCAGTCAATGTTTTATATTTTTAACGATTTGACGGCATTGATTGTACATCGATGTTCTTTAGAAATGTTGGTGTTATTTACGTCATTAAATAGGAAAAATATATTATAAATGATAGCGTTCGTTCTTTACAATTTATCGTGACTTTATCATTGCTTAAATCATCGTTTTTAATCGGAAAACCAACTGTTTTTTTTAAACGAGTTGAGCCTTGGTATGATTTCTTATTAATAAACGACGACTTATATGAAATTGTTATTACATCAGACGTATTTTGGTTATTAAATTAGTTTAATTAGCTATTCACTAAACAAACTAGTCTCCAATTCCATTCTTCGCAAATTATAAGACAATTTTATATTGAAATGCTGTTAAAATATAATATCCATGTCATAGATATGCCAGTTAGTAATACCAAATTTTTTAATTTCTCTTCGGTGTAAATTATTAATATAAATGGCGCAAGCCTTAGATGTAACAAAACATGAAGCAGTCCAATATTTTATTTCTATGCCATGATTGGCGTAGAAATAAAATATTACGGTTTGATGGTAGGGATTAGCAACCTTTAGTATTAATTGTCTACATTCTGCAATGTATTTTAATTATATGTATTTATGAACTGAGAAGGACTGGCAAAACCTTTTGAAAAAAAATTCTAGTGAAATGGAAATTAATTGTTATGTTAATCTTTAATAAAATATAATTAATCAATCGACTTTACTCGAGTACATTTATTATGGGTAAGCATTGTTACCTATAAGTGTACATCAGTGGTAATGTATTGCGAGAAATGAAATTAAATAACCATCACAAACGTACAATCTCAATTAAATTATGAATTTATGAAATGGTTAATTGTAATTAATGTAATTTACGCATACGAACAGGTTATATAGGCGACAGAATGACTATTGTAATGTATAAATTTATAGCCTTCCTTAACTTAGCGGTCTAATTTTTTTCAATAAAAGTTTATTTATTTCGAGAGTTAAGAGTTAATACAATAAATTTCTTCTTTAATTTATTTGCTTGTTTTTTTCTGTGTATTTTTCCTTTTTTTATTTTTATGTTGCTTCCAATGCATCATTGTGTTTGGGGTCTCTGATTTTTTTTACATATGACTGGGAATCATCATTCGAAGTATTAAGAGCCTGCGCTGCATTTAGCGGGAGCATGGAGATGAAATGACATAAAAACTGCATGCGGATCGGATGCCTGCTCCGTGCTCCCGCTTACCGCAGCACTGACTCACAAGGTTGGAACATTTATTGCTGACTGACCAACTAGATGGTCAACTTATGTGGTCTGTTCGGAGAGCGAGATAAAATGTGAGTGGTTAACCGTACGGTTTGTGGAGAATTCGATTTGAGCTGAAATTCGGATCACGATGTCCTTTAGAAAGGACCTAATTTTATTCTTACTCGACAAAAGTTACTAAGCTAGCACTGAAGAACTAATGTGGTATATTTAATACTCACACGGGTTAACTCTTTAGGCGAGGAAAGATTAAAGACAGCTTTATTTTATATTAAAATTTATTTCACAGCTATTTTATTGTTAAAATAACTACTTGAATCATCAGATTGCATGCATGAATTTCTAGCTACGGTAAAACATTACTGAATAGAAACTTACCAATTCACGACTTGAACACACTTATTCTAAACGTGCTAAGTTTAACTAGTTAATGAATGAAGTCGATTGAACGTAAACCGTCTATTTAAACCGTTCGTTAATTCAACGCCCATCGCTATTACCCTTATAGTTTGCGAGTTCGAAACATCTGTCAAATGAGTACCGATTTTTAGTTCTCGTTACGTTCAAGTTTCCATACAAAATTTGACATTGACATTTCGGTTTGCAAACTATTCGAATTCGTTAATGGTTCGTGCTAGGGGTATAGTACCATTAGCACGTACCAATATCGAATTCGAATAATTTGCGAGTCTGAAATGTCATTGTCAAATGTGTACTGATTTTTAGTTCTCGTTACGTCCTTTGTGACGCTGCTGTTCAAGTTTCCATACAAAATTTTACAATGACATTTTGGACTCGCAAATTATTCGAATTCGATATAGGTTCGTGATATGGTTCAGTACACTTTATACCATTAACTAACTCGGTCAAATTGACTAAGTTGGGCCAACATGTTGCAACATATGGACACCGTTGTATAGGTGTCGTTTCAGTTAAAACCAAGTCAGTAAATTCAGGTAACATATTTTCATAGAAAATTTTTCGATTTGGTATACGAATTTGCGTATTGTAAGTTACCGTTTTTCTTTCTACAATTAAGAGGTCTCTTAAGAATTTTGTAAATCGCAACTGTCGCCACACAACACCTACTATAATATATATCCATACTAATATCAATACCTACCAAATATTGTATGCATTTAAGAGGCTTGTGTTGTGTTGTGCCACTGTAGTGCTGGACATGAAAATATTTTCATAAATATTAATTGATAAGTAAACTATTATATAGAGCGTAGAAAATAGTTCCCAAAAATCTTCCTGTGCAGTGACCAGTGGCCACAAACTATAGTACTTAACTTAGAGTACGTAGTGAATTTGCCTTTTATAAGTGCATTTGTAAATTATAATGATAATTAAATTAATAATAGACAGACAATATTATAACAGTAGGTGGGTACATAGCGTATCTTAAATTTTATAAAGACTTATTGTACTTATTTGGTATTGGGAACTTCAACTTCTATTTGGTATATCATTAGGTCCATATCTGATTGTGCGATTATTTCCTAAGTAATAGGTATATGATCAGTTTTGTTATAACATTTATATATTTTGCCATGGTTAAATAGACAAATTTACTTATTTGGTTTTTTCAAGGTATTTTATGAAGATAGATACGTGTGATGTAATACAGAAACGTATTTTATATTTGTACAATAACTACTTACGTTTATTTAGGTAAGACAGCAGACTGAGAAAAAAAGTGCTTTTATAATAAGTAGTATTCATTGGAACTGTTATTTTCACAAGCATGAGCTAGGATATAAAAATTATAATAATGATTTAAATAGATAACATATACTTAAGCAATTTTGTCTAAACGGCCATAATGTTTAGAAAATGAAATGTGTACTGTTTTTTTTTTAACTTATAGATAATTAGTACTTACTTATAATAATATTTTGTCATGGAGTGTTCATCTCATCTCGTCGTGACCTGAGCCAGCGGTGGCCTCCTCAATGGTGAAAAAAGTGTCAATAGGAATCATATCCAAAAGATTCTCAGAATACTCTACTGGTAAAGACGGTACTTAATAATTATACGTATCTGACCGATATGCTGACCAACAACCCCTATCATTGTAAATTAAATGGTATATCTACTAATGTTAATTTAGTATTTATGTGTGTTACGTTACCTTTCTTGGTGTCTTGTCAATTTTATACAATAAAAATTATGCATCTATTATAAACGTATTTTTCTTTATAGCTATCTATTTTGTAATAGGGTTTTGGTGGAGAAAGAAAGAAGTAGAGCTTTTACATAAAATATTTATTTAACGAATGGTAGGTACTATGAGAGATACAAATTAAAATGTATAGGTATATTGTACATTGTAAAAAATAACAAAAACATTAGTAAAATTATCCCATAAAAATATTTCTAAACTACCCACACCATTGTGTGTGTCGTTGTAGGTATACTCGCAATCATTATTTTACATAAAATCGAAAAAGATTTATAATGCCAATATTTTCAATATAAAATTTATGTCAATGCTTGGTCAATGCATATTCGCAGATGTTTATAGAAAATGACTTCGCTATTATTCAACTTTTTATGTAAACTAACAGGGAAAGTAGGTTTTACTTACTGTATAAATCGCCAATGATATTAAAATATGTACATAAAAAACATTCACGTCTCTTGCAGTTTGCGGACTGTCATTTTAATGTGATAATGATTTACGAGAAGGAAAATCTGTAAATGATTTTATTATCTTCTAAAAGTGGCTTTTCAGTTTAATTGTTTTAAATGTATGAGTACTTATTTCGTATATAATTTATTTGACTTTATTCGAAAAAATAGTAATCGATATTTGGAGTATTTATAAACACAACTTATTAATTAACCAATCATTTCGTAAGAGTCTTTAAATAATCAAAGGTTAGAGTATTGTGATAATATAGATAAATGATTGATCTCCCTACGGTCGACCGAAGGGAGACTCATCATTTATTTAAGGTGATAATTGTGAACAAGTAAATTTGTAATGCATAATAATATGCTTCATGTCAGGAGTAAAATAAGATACTTACAATAAAAATACCACTGATAAGATTGGTCTATACCAATGTACCTTTATCACAGTTAATTTTTATGTGACTGGATAATTTTACACATCGAGTCCATTAGGCAGTGAGGGTTGTTGGCGAATATGATTATAATTAACATTCTTATATTAAAATAATTCTATTTACAAAGATTACAACTTGGATAGTTGTATAAATACCTAGTACCTACATTTAATAACATACAAATTACAAGGTGTATTTCTTAAAAAGCTGCTGTTTGACTGATTTTTAGATATGTAGTACAAGAATAAAAACATTGCAGAGACTATCAGCTTTTGTACGATATTTTTTAATGCGCATCTGAAATTCACACCACGAATTTTTAGCATAAAAGACACTCAATATGTTACTAAATCACCTACTTTAAATGGATTTTTTTTTACGTAAATTAACGTTTAAAAATGGCAATGTACCAAATTATAGAACATGATAAAATTATATTAAAAACACGGTCACTAAGCGAACCGTAATTAAAAGGAACAATAATAACAAAACTATCCATCTTATTGTTATTCTAGCAAGTTATAAAAAGCAACAGCAGTACATATTATTTTGGCATCAATCCTACTATTCACTTAACCCTATATGATTTACATAACAATAAATATATAATAATATTGTCTTAAATATTTCTATTATGCTATTTATTTAATACTTTCGGTTCAAAACTAATATCATTGAAGGATTTACGACCGTTTAAAGTAATTTTTGAAAATATATTGAAAAAAAACTTAAAGAGCACAAAAGAGTTATGAAGTAATAGGTATAATATTTAAACAGAAAGTATTATATCAAGCATTAGTGGTCCTTTGCAAAATGATTTTTTAAACGAAGCTGATATCACAGGCACATTTTATTAGTAAAAGGTCACTGCCAGAAATACCAATTTCATTAAATACCCTATTTATTTTCTACAATTTCTATGTACCTTATATGCTTTATTTTCATGCAAAGGACTGCACATTTTAATTAAATTTAAAATGTTACAAATACTTTTATTTTTCTTAAATTAATATTCCAACTCATTTACATCTTTGGTTCGATACCTAGTAAGGGTTGGTGATTACTGAGAATACAGATCTTTCTTTCTTTATTTTGTAATCCTTGAATCCTTTGAGCTTAAACTAAATAATTAACCTATTGTTTCGTTTTGAACACTCGAGTCAAACGGAATGGTAACCATTAAGACAGAAATTTCGTAGTCCAGTAACGCCAAGGTAACGCTTTAATATCGCCGCAGGAATATCGTGGCCTAAAAGAGTGAGTTTTTGACTGATTTTTTATGACACTAACGATCAAATTTCGGTCGGTTACCGCTTTTCGAAATCATGGTTCATCGAGCAGTTTGCTCAATTATTTTCACAAACTTTGTGTTTTGTAATGTAACTTTTAGTATTGGATTAATCAGCGTACAGCAACCCCGTTGATAGTGACTACTGCGTTGGGCCCAGTGGGCTCGGGTTCGTAAGTCGACTCGGTGTCACTCCTTCTACCGTACGCGACGTTGTCGGCGATTCTCTCGCTGTAAGGCGAGTCGTATACGTTGTCGGTGACATGGTCGTAGATGTGTCGGCCGTTGGTGTCGTGGAGCGTCGCGTAGCTCATGACGGCCGCGTTCTGATCTTCCTTACGTTCAGCACCCTCTATATTTTCGGTATTCTTCACCGGTGTTGCTTTACGTCTGCGAGGGAAAGTTGTGTAAATTCGATTAATCTTATTAAGTTGCGTTCTTAAAGGACAGTATGTGTTAGTACTACACAAGTGACGTCACGTGTTGATTTGGTCACTGAAGTAACAGCGATTTAAAGTATAATGCTCTAAGCATAGCTGGAAGTTGTTGCTTAGTACATTTGAGACTATGACAGTAAATGATAAGTAAACGTGCATAACAAATATAGAACTTTAGATGCAAAATTATCATAATCGCAACATTCAAACATTAAACAGATCCACCGACGAGGATTTTCTGTACACGAGATCGGACGTGTTATCCGCTCAAACTGGTGCACTCGCTTTGTAAGTAGCCTTCATGTTACAGAAAACTATTTTATTAGTTTAGTTAGGTACTTAGACATTTCATTACTTAATTAACAAATCTAAAAAAAGAAATACCAGCAAATATGCACCCTACCACACCGCCTAGGCAGGGTGCATTCTATGTTGTTCTTTGTTAGGGGTTATGGTTCCCGCACTTCGTCCTTAAATGGATCATGGTATGTGAGCCATGGGGGCTGAGTGTATTTTTCAGTAGGTACCTTATCTCCCACTTCAGTTATCGTCGCAGGACAACTCAGTTTACCTACGCCATGTTTAAAAAATTCAAAATGAAATAGTTATAAGAGGCTCAAATAGACAACTCCTAGTAGCATCCTGGACTCGTCTTAGAATTGACATCAGTTACTTGATCAAACAGAAAAGAAAAAATGGTCAAAGGAGATTGCTCAAATTGGCCTAAATGCACAAAAAATGTTGACATACACGGTAATTCTTGGCGTAATTTTTAATTTAATTTACAGTCATTAGATTTCAACGGACACCTTTGTATAATATATTTACTTTAAAAAGGACTTTTAATTTTACCGGTTTGGAAAACATACGAATAATTTTTAATGGCTATGGGTGTAGTAACATTCAGCCAACGACTGATCGAAGTTGTTTGTATAACATAAAAACAAATCTATTTTGTAAAGATCGATAAAATAAATCATTTTTTTTTATTACACTGTGGTATTAATATCAACTATATTATCATTTTCACTAGATATAAATGTGCTCAGACAATTAATTATTATAGATGGTAGGCGACATCATAAAGTCTATTGCCATGCATTTTTCGCCAAATACCTCCATAAACACATTATAATCTGTATATATGTTAGACTTTAAGGTATCTATCTATGGGCCTACGTTCCCTGACTATAAATTAATAAATAAATAAAATTATAAGGTGTGATATACTAAAAATCTAAAATATGGTTATCTTAAAAACATAACAAAAATAATGAAGCTACTGAATATATGGCTATAGAACCTAAATCTCTTAGTTTTCTTTGGTTAACGAGAGTTTAAAAATTCTCTAATCTGTGGCTCATTCACAATCATCACACAGTTTCTGTCACAGAGTACCTTATTTTAACCGGAAATGACACCTGATTTTAAAAGTTACTCTTATGCATTAACTTTAAAAACAGGCAACTATCTGTTAATCTACATGCTCTATATACCTGAATCTAATACATAATTTCGGTACTTGGTTTGATTTCCCTAGTTTACTATATAACTTATTTGTTTTTTATTATTTTAATATGTTCAGTGTATATGGTTTATAGAAGTTCTCAGGGGTGTCCGTCAATAATATTCGTTTCTACAGTAATTTATATATAATTTCGAATCTAGGAAACAAATTTTCATGATTATTGGTCTTTAGGCCAAACATGTATGGAAGCTGAGCAATCTCCTTTAACATTCTCCAATATATGACTCCCAGCAGCATTAGTAGGAAAAGCACCACCCCGCACCCGTCGCCCACACCGAGCGGCAGCGTGCCGTTCTCGGCCGCCTCGTTGGTGTCCAGCTCGCAGGAGGGCTTCTCGACCGACGACCACCCGTCTTCCATGCACTTCCTTAGGGAACTGCGGTAGGCAGTGGTACTCTATGGAGCTGTCGAACAACGTCGACCCTTTCGATGATGCGCTCGTTCTCGAACTTACCGGGCAGCTACAGTCCCAATCTCAAAAGATATCATTCCAATCAGCACCAGCAGGAACATTACCACATTGCCAGCCGATACCCACGTTCAAAAACTTAATAATTAAATAAATGCTTACAGTCTCAAATAAATGACACCCAGCAGCATCAAGAGAAACAGCACCACCCCACACCCGACGCCCACACTGAGCGGCAGCGTGCCGTTCTCGGCCGCCTCGTTGGTGGCCAGCTCGCAAGAGGGCTCCTCGCCCGACCACTGCCCGTCCTCCGTGCACTTCCTGAGGAACGGGCCGACTCGCTGGAACTGCGGCAGGCAGTGGTACTCTATGGAGCTGCCGAACAGCGTCGACCCGTTCGATATTATGATGCGCCCGTTTTCGATCTGACCGGGCGACTTGCAGTCGATAGCTGTGGAAAAGGATTATTTTTAGTCAGGTTATATAGAATCACAGTTTTGTTTCCGTGCTGGATTGGGAAAGTCAATTTATAGTATCTCAGTTTTGGTGGACTGATGGTAATTCTGGAAGGAGCAAGAGGTAATCCAAGGTACCCGATCCGTCGTGCTAACATTGCGTCAATTATAAGTTGCACCAAGAAGTCCATAATGTATAATATCGTAAATGGAAAAAAGTAACTTTATTTATCTTCTAGTAAAAAATTAATTAAGATATAAACAGTATAGCAGTTAAATGCCTAAAGAAAACATAATAACATATCATATAAGTCGTGGGCTATCCACTGCTGAAAGTAGACTTCCCCCAAGGATCTCCAGACCAAAAGGTCCTGCACTATCCAAATAGAACGCCTTCCGTGACCTTCACTAGAATTCTCCTACTGATTTCCTCATTTCTTATTGTACCGCGAACAGATTGCAACTATTGACTATAAATACTTACGTATGCAAACCGGCGGCGCCCCCTTCCATTGTCCTTTAGGTAAGCAGACCCTAGTCTGGTTACCCTTCAGACCATAGCCTCTCTCGCAGCGGTAATGTGCCTCGCCTCCTATACTTAACGTGGACGTTGCCACTTGCAGACCCACGCTGCCCTTGATTTGCACTGATGGATCAGGGCAAGTGATTTCTGAAGAGAAAATAATACGTTACATAAATGAGTCTTCTTAAATGTTTAATCGGCTCTCAATTTGTTTATGTTCTGAATATTTTCTGGTTTCGAGGACCTGAATTTTCTACTCAAACTTCTGTAGTTCTTATAATAAACTTCTGAAGTTCTGGTAATCTCGCAATAGGTAATGAATGGAATGGCCAAAAATGGTGTAGAGGGACATTTGTGAATCTTCCTTTTGGCAGATGGCAGAGTCTAGGTCTAGATTGTAAAACTAGTAGGACTATAGTGTTAGTAACTATTTTTTGTAGGTGGCATAACCTTCATAAGATATATTCCACTCCTACTTCACAACAAGTGTGGTAACTCTACCACACTTGTTGTGAAGTAGGAGGTTGAAGATAACTTATAGCTTGGTAAAATACTCATTTTACCAAGCTTGTCAACCTTCTTTGTTATTAATCTTTGTAGATAGCATGGTCTGATGCTGTTAGGAGTGGTCGTACCGCACCAGTTTTCTTTAAAAGTAGTCATAGTACTATGCGGCAGTTGTGGTAATTAGCCAGGTCTCTCTAAAGACTAACCTTGACTTCTCCTTGTGTCCAACCCAGGTCGAACGATTAGTTTGTAATATCTTCTACAGTTAAGTATCTTAAAAGTACTAACCTTTGCACATCGGCGCTTCCGAGCTCCAAGTACCGTTGTCCTGGCACAAGCGCCTGGAGACACCATTCAGCTGCCAGTGCTCTTCGCATTCGTAGAGTGCCGCCGCGCCATAGTACGTGGCGTTGTTGGTGGCCAGCGTCACCTTGCCGTTCTCGATGCGGCCCGGGTTACCGCAGTCAACATCTAGCAATGCCAAAAATAAAACTTTTTGTGATGCCAAATTTTGCAGGTTCGAGAACTTGGTTTTGCAGCATACTGAACTGAATAAGAATCCAACTTTCTTATGTCTGGTCTGGAAGCGTTGTCCTTATCCAAGTTTCTCATGCAGAGAGTATAGAGAAACCTGTTGTAACTGGAAGTTTTAGAATTCAACAGAGGAATATCATGTTGTTTGAGATTCGAAACTCGAATGAATAAAACGCAAGTAATAAATACTGTCTGTCACTATAGGTTCGCTTACATTGACATTTTGGTGTGATTCCACTCCATTGACCGTTGTCCTCGCATGTCGACAGACTTTCGCCAACCACCTTATAACCGCGTTCACATCTGCAAAGAGAAAACAGCAAAATAAGTAACTAGTTATAGCCGTCTAGAAGCCCACTTAGTACTTATTTTTACAGTTTTACATGTATTCACTTATTATTACTTACATATTTTAGCCTTTCCATAGATTAGTTTTCCTGGTTTATATATTCTTTCATTGATATAGTTATGTACACTAATTATAAATATGTATGTACGTACCTGTATTTGACCAGAGCGCCGATCCTGTAGGTGTTGCCTGAGTTGGCGCTGACCGAGGTCCGGATGAGAGTCCGGCCGTGGTTTCTGTCATTCCCGGTCACTGACACGATGCTGTTCTCCGCCACCACTGGATCCGGACAACGGATTTCTGGGCAAACAAACCAATGACACTTAAAACACTGATAACCTTGAAAAGTTTGGTAAGAGGATCATATTAAAAAGGAACCAATAACTAACTCTGAGGCCAGACGAAATTTTGAAAACTAAATGACTATTGACGTGAGATATTTTGCTCTGAAACCTAAAATATACTACCTTTGACGATTGTCTTTTGCAAACTTAAGTAATTTTGAAGAATCTTAATGTGTATCACTTCGTCTACATATCCATGCGGTCATAAGTTACCTCATTACTTACTACTGGCGTAGGACGTCAAGAGCCTGACATAACATCTGCTTCTGCCACCTCCTTTCCAGTAAGATTTTTGGAGAAACGTTCGAGATTCTGACAAAGCCAGCTTGTGTCTAAGCAATACATACCTTCGCATCTAGGCGAGGAATCACTCCACTGGAAGTCTTCGGTGCAGTACCTCCTCACGGGGCCGACGAGCCTGTACTTGGTGGTGCACGAGTACTGGATCACGCTGCCCATATGCGTGGTGCCGTTCAGCAGCTCCGCGGCTCCGTACGGCATCGGTGGCAGTTTTCCGCAGTCGACATCTGGATTCATAGTCGACGACACATTTTGATGAGAGTGCTGGGCATTTCTTACGAGTCACACAATTGAATATGTTTAGATTTTTTAATTTATTTATATTAATGCATACAAAATAAACATCCATTCCATTGAATTTTATAAATAAAGTTCTGCGTATAATAATGGGTATTAACTGAGAAAGTAAAACGCACAAAAATATTGACAATAGGCTTGTGTCAACTAACAATAAATCGAATGGGTTACAGTTTCTAAATATGAATTATGATATACAGATAACAAAAAATAAAGCTATTTATCATAATAATTAAAGATTATTATTATTTTTAGAAAATAAATTCGAATAAAATAGGCATTAGATCTCGTGACGGCAAACACCAATCAGAAAGACTGACGTCACCACGTGCAAAACATTACTTGTGGTTGCCGTTTCCATACATTTCATTGATATCTCATTCATGTTATTGTTACTTTGATACAAATTATCAGTTTGTTTTCAGATAAGTATTGAAAGGAAGCCTAATAAATCCATGGAATTGGGATTTACCGAAGCAAATAATAATATTTTAACCAAAATAAGAAATTAATCGCATAACTACTCGACATAATTAAGCATATCATTTGGCAACTAGAACAAGAATAAGAAGTGTTTATTATTATGAATAAATATATTGAACTCTCAAATAGACTCTACATCATACCATAAAATTAAATCAACTTACCTAACCTCAACCTATTGTCATTGTTTTATCAATATAATGCAATATAATTTATCCGGCTTTTATAACATTTTGATTTCATTGATTATGTTATGCAAAATATTTACATCAAAATGTTAATCACAAAATTATTCTTGTATTTGTTGATAAATAATGAATAGGTACCATCCCTCCTTGCAAGTTCTAAGTTCTAACCATTTTTTCCGCATTTGTGGCATATAAATAATTTGTCTGGCGTTTTATGTTTCTCCGTTTATACTAGGACACTATACAGTACTTGTAATACGATGGATTCATTTTTAACTAAATAATTTTAATAGTCGGCGTACAGCGTATTGTTTGCTTTGCACGGCGTGACGTCATTCTAGACGCCATGACAGTCTAGAGCGTTTTCGAGGGAAATTTGAACAAGTTTTTTAAAATAAAAAATACATATTGCTAATGTACTTTTTTATTTAAAATAATATTTTTTGGGGTTAAATAAATATCAAGGTATATTATTAACCACTTTTTAAAATATAGGCAACTAGCCTATTGGCTCATTTTAGACATTTTCTTCGTTCCCTGTGCACCTTTTTTACTAGATATTTTTCCTGACTTTGTTACTTACATTCGCATTTCGGCGAATCTCCCGACCATTCACCGTCGGAAGTGCAGACGAGGTTCGCGTTACCGATCAGTTTGTGGCCACGCTCGCAGTGGAAGTTGATTGTCGAGTGCACGTTGTAGTCGTAAACTTCCATGTAGCCACCCGCCGGCACCTCGGGGTCGGGGCACGATATCACTGTTAAGGAACACCAATAATTCTTGACATAGATACTTTGTAACTATCGACAATCCAGCAAAGATACTTATAAACATTTTTTTACATTTACCTAATATAACTCCCTGACAATGCAATAAGTTGTCTTATTGCAACTTTTCACACTTATTAGATATTTTTATAGAAAACACTCCCACCAATTCGTCTAGCCTCTAAGTAAGCACTGAAAAACTTGTTTTATGTTATGGGAGATTAGTGTAATGGATATAATAAGTATACTGATACAAATAAGTATATTTTATCTAGAAATACAAATAAATATTCATGACTTAGGTACAAATGTTCTTATTCATCATAATAAACATACAGACCGGGATTCGGACCACGGGACCTCACGAGTAGGCGACACCCGGTGAAACTCTAAGTACATACGACTCGGCCGCGGAGGTCGACATATTAAAATATAAAAATATATATTTGATACTACACACAAAAAATCCAAAATTTTCAACTCACGTTCACAAGTCGGTATATCGTGAGACCACTTTCCGTCGCGGTTGCAGACCAGGATATCGGTACCAGAGAGCCAGTAGTCGGGCTCGCAGTTGAATTCAGCCAGGGAGCCATAAGTGGTGGTGCCATTGGGTAGCCGGAACGATCCCTTGTGGACCTGAGCGGGAGTGCCGCAATCCACGTATTTGCATGAGGGCGGTGTGCCTGACCAAAGGCCGCCAAGAGTGCAGTTTACGCTCTGGAAACAATTAAATCATCCATACATGCATCACAAAGAAGAAACACTAATATTGAGTTGTGTTTGTATCATTGAATCTATTCGACTTAAAGTACCTCTGAATACCAGGTATTCTAGTTATCATAACAATTTAAGAACTTTACATTCATAGAGAAGACAACGGAAATCGTTTAGATTTATTTTGAATTACAGTTGATTACAAAACTAGATTATTACTGGTGTGAGAAGGATTGTTGTATTATATTATGCTTATTCCCTTTTAAGGGAAAGGACTACTCACCGGAGATCCAAAGAGTATGAACCCATTCTGGCAAGTGTAAGTTGCGAGTGATCCTGCTTTGTGCCCACTTATTGATACCATAGCGCCATCGACTGGCGGTGGTTCTGGACACCAATCGAACAGGCATTTCGGTGCCTCTCCACTCCAAATTCCTTCGTCCCCGCACTCCCTAATAGAGTCACCAACCAGCGTGTAATTCTCTCGGCAGGTATACACTGCTTTTGCTTCATGCGTTGTTCTTCCGTCCACCAAGGTTACATCACCGTCTTGGATAGGAGTCAGACCACCGCAGTTGACATCTTAAAAAAAAACAATAACATTATATAAAACAAGTTTTAAGGGTATAGATGCACTGATTTATTTATTTATGTCGCTTGGAATGTGGTTTTTAAATTCTTACGACGCAGCCTGAAAAGGATGCGAAACGCCATCATTAAACAGTGCTTATATACCGTTGAAAATTGTTTTATTTAATGAGTGGTGTGCGTGAAAACCTAAAAAACAAATAACATTATACCTAATTGAAAGTGATTTGAGGCATCTTTTTCACGTATAATAGCTTGAGTACTTTGTGATGGTAAGCGGCCACAATAACCTATAGATGTTTGCGATAAAAAAAAAAATATCAATCGCGCCGTTGCTTACCCTGACCCAGTCCCTTACCCCTTAGCCTTAGTCCTGGCACCTTACTCACAGACAGAAACACAACACCGCCAAAATGTAGTGTTAAATTACTGTGGTCTCCTGTAACTATGTTTGTAGTACCATTAATCAAGTTATCATGTTTCATTTGTATATTTGCAACAGAATCTAAAATTACTTCTTACATTTACAGCTGGGTGCTGTACCGGACCAGAATCCATCATGCTTGCACTCTCTGATGCCGTCTCCTAACAGCATGTGACCTTCAGGACATCTGTACTCAATGCTGGCGCCAACCAAGTAACTGCTTCCTACGATTGTGGTGTTCAGCAATTTGTCCGGGCTGCCGCAAGATGGTGGTACTGTGGAAACGATGTAATTAAAGTTGACGAACAAAAAGACACACTGTGTTACATATAAGTGTAAACTTTATTCGCAAAGAGCATGAATGTATCTGAATTACAAAAGTACAAACGTACATACGTACATAAATACATCGATAAAAGGAATGTGGTTTTAAAATTGGTCTCTGATAAATATGAGATAAGATCTTCTTATTTTATAAAAAAAAAACTATAAATCGCTTTGCAAAGTCAGTATAATCTACATCTTTATATATATAATTCTTCTGTGAGTGATACACACTCACTCACTGAACTTCTCTTAAACGACTGGACCGATTTTGATGAAATTTTTTGTGTGTGTTCAAGGGGATCTGAGAATGGTTTAGATTCACAACTTTGTCCGCTGGACAATGTTTTTTTAATTAATTTTTTTTATGGCGGTACGAAGTTCGCTGGGTCAGCTAGTACCTATATAAAAATCAATTGCTGTTCGTTTTGTCTCGCTAAAACTAGAGAATGGGCGAACGAATATAGCTTATCTTCGTCTTCAAATATTCGTGGAGGTCTAGGGAAGGTTTAAAAGGTGAGAAAATATGGAAAAATTGCGAGGAAGATAGTAAAAACGTCAATTTAATTTTCCCATATAAACTGTTCTATCTTCTTTCCTGTCAAACATTTGACCTTCGTCCCTTTTGGTACGGGGTACGGTAGACTCGAGTCCGTCATTTTTTCTAAATTATTTTAACCCATACGAAGTACGCGTGGTCAACTAGTACCTAATAAATTTTGGACGTCGGTAATTTAATGTCCGGAAACAATAAGTGATTCAGCGTGTTCAGACAAAGCGTTGACGGCATTATATTTAACGAACTTCATACTAATGTTACAATGTTCCTTTCGAATTTTCCTTATCAATAAACATGCATTTTAGTATCAAGGGAAGAATGTATAATTGCAATATAAAATTTCATCATGGAAATAGAGATATCATTAATGTATTTGCGTAATGTACATATTCAGTAATTGATTTCCTGCAAAACGCAACAACTACATTTCGCATGGACAACTTAATTCAAGACAAGCTGTTGTAATATTCTTATCATATAAGGTCCCTGTTTACTTAACCATATTAAGGCATTAAATTAAATATGTTTCAACGGGTTAGATGCACTGATTTTATTTATTAATTGACGTTTCGCATCCTTTGCAGGAATGCTGGAGATTATTGCGACGATGCATTCCTGCAAAGGATGCGAAACGTCGATAAATAAATAAAATTAGTGCTATAACCCATTGAAACTTGTTTTATTTAATGAGTGATGTTCGTGAAAATCTAAGAAACAAACATATTAAGGTATCGCAAAATTGTGTATTTATATTTATTTATTATTATCCTTCTAAAGTTATAAATGTAAAAGTTTTGGCGGACATCATCTGGAAACTTCTTCAGTTGTGAAGACAGAAATTTGAGCTTTTTACCATCATCAGAAACATTTTCTGGTATTTTTTTTGGAATTGACAGTTCGTTCGTTTCGTTCGACAGTCTAAAACTTCGACATTGGCTTTGATGATACTAAAGTAGCACAAAATTTAATTTTGCTGAACTAGAAGGAATTCTCAACGGATAACTTACTGAAAAAGTTAATTTAAGGAATCAGGGCATGAACAAAATATTAACTAGAAAATAATCCACTCGCTCCAGGTTTCAGACAGAATTCCAAACTGCACCTTCCGCCCAGATTGCGAATGGAGACTTATTGATCGAGCAGTTAAATGTTTAAAAATATAATAAGCTACAATCAGGCTTTTTTTTTATTTGTCATGAGGTACTCGGTTGCGCTATTGGCACTTACTATTGGATCAGAAACTGGTTAACACAGACGAAGTGGAGGGCAGAAGCTAGTATATGAATTATTAATAGGGGCGCCCTATTATGGTAATGAGCTATCAGAAACCCGTAACTATATTAATGGAGAGGAAACTCTTCGTGTCGCTGATCGAGCCGAGACGGGATCGCTAATTAACATAAATCACATTAGCATTGTTTAACATCTCTCACGTAAATATGTCAAAACATTGATAAATGAATAATAAAATGTTATTAACCAATTTCCATATAATTTTCATATACGACACCATGACCGAGTGGTTTGTACGCCAGATTTCAAGATGTCGCCTAATCGACAGTTCCCGGGTTCGAATCCCGGTAGGGACAGATGATTGTGTGGTGAATACGAGCATTTGTACTCCAGTCATAGATGTTTAATATGTATTTCTATGTAAATATACTTAAATATGTATTTCCGTTAACCTAGTCGGGCTTTTGGGTACAAATGTCCAGCCGAATTATTAGATTATGTCAACCTCATAAGGAAATTATCCGGCCTCTGTATTATAGAAGATAGCAACCCTAAATGTGTCCCATTACCTATGTATTGGGATTTGGCTGCCCGCATCTGTGTTCCCGATAACATATAATCCTTAATCGTATAAAGCTACAATGTACAGGCTGCGTTTAGACAAGGTCGCACCATTGTCACAGCGGTGACACTCTCTGTACGTGAGAGTTCCAGCGTCAGTGACCTTGAGCAGGAGCGTGTATGCACTAGGGTTGAACCGAATTGGAATTTAGACTTGTACCAATGAATATTTATGCATAGTAAGTTATTAAATGTAAACTGATTCAAGGATACTGGGGTAAGTAATGAAGGATAGGTTTGATTTTATAATCTTTTAATGTAGGTACTATAACAAATTGCAAACTTTTACATATTTTCTCCTTTTTCGATTCGTTTTATAATTCTTATTATTATCTAAATCTAAACAATAAAAAAAATGCGTAGCGTAGTCAGTCTGTGCGTGCAATGCAGTGCAACGCTATTATTTTACTATTTCGCTACTGCCATGCCTTCGGTCGAGGCAGTCGGCGACTGCCCTCTCCACATCCCGCGCGCCGCGCAACGGCCCCGCGCACCTCCAGACACCCACACATAGCCGCGCGCGATTTTACGAGCACACATGCTTAAGTGTCGCTTCTTTTCGCGTAGTGTATATATTCTGTGCCATTGTGAGTTTTCGCTAATCCTAACGAGTAATGTAAGTACAGTGTCGGTAAGCCTAATAGCAAACCAAGCGGACCGTACGAGTTCACATACACCATGGTGTATTCTATTATTCAACATAATGCTCTCACGTCAGCTGAAATTTTGAAATTGCTTGTTGGCAACACAGTTTGCTGTTATCTGAAATTAAATGTTTGTTGGACAGTTAGTGAAAATTCAAACTATCTAACTTTTGGTCATTCAGAGTTCACCCTTTGAGTACTAAACCATAGTTTTTGAAAAGTATACTTCTACCTCCAATAATTGAATGAATAAAGCCAGCTGTTACATTTAAAACTAAAATATAAATAAAAATATATACAAACACAACCCGCCATATTAATAAATATGAAGTGCCTAAATAAGTGAAACTTGTTTTAGACCTAATGCTGTTTCCACCTTATTATTGGTGAACAAATATGACAACAGTATAATTTTAAGACCCGACTTTTTTATATAGGTCCGACAAATGACTCCACCCCACCTGATGTTAAGTGAAGGTGAAGTTCAGACGCGAAGATAGCTGATACAGTAGTTCTACCTGCCACACCAGCCATCCTCACCCTGCCGGCCTGCATGTTGCTTCTTTGCGCCTCTTTTAAAGGATCCCAGGTTGTAAGAGGGAGGGAACACGTGAGCGGGCAGAGCATTCTGTTTACGGATGAGTCACCAAATTTCTTTGTACGCGTTGGAATTGTAGCCACAGATAGAAAGGGGAAGGTGGAATAAGACAGAATAACTCCTCTGAACACTGGTACAGACGATAGAACGCGCTTAGTGACGCCACGTCACGGCGTAATTGAAGAGGCTCAAGGTGTTTGCAAAAGGTGCAAGGTGTGTGCAAGTCACCTTCTCATCGTCTATGATGCGGATTGCGCGCCGCTGTAACCTATCCAAAGCATCGAGCAAGTACTTGACGGAGCCATCCCAGAGGTGCGAGCAATATTCCAAATAAAACAAGCACAGTTGCTCGGGCGTGAAAAAACGCCGCACCTTGTTCAGGACTCCGAGTTTGCGTGAGGCTGATTTTATCACAGTTTCGATTATAACTTTAATCTATGTTTTGAAATAATGATGAGTGTATTTAAAAAGCTCCATGACGCAGATGGTTACCGCATTCGTTCTGCAATTGAGGATGTTAAGCAACTTTCGCAATCTCCGGTCATTGGATAGGTGACCAAAAACTTAATATCTCGAGCTCCTCCGTGCTTCGGAAGGCACGTTAAGCCGTTTGTCCTGGGTGTATTTGAGGTCGTTAGTATCCACTAATCCGGCCCGCGTGGTGGATTGTAGCGCAACCTCGCGCAGGGGAGGCCTGTGCCCCAGCAGTGGGAACATTAAAAAAGACTGATGATGTAGTTACTCGTATGTAAAAAGATACAAGGAAAAATGAAATGTATGTAAAATCTAAGGGTAGCTGTATTACAGATCAAATTTTGACCCCCACGCGCTGCGTATTAAAAAAATACACATGATGTATTAGGAAATGCTGCCTGCACCTTTAACCTTAATATTTTAGATAAAACACCTGGCGTATGGTACCAGAAAGAAAAAGGTCAAGTTAGCCAAAACCAACTGTCAAATTTCTGCTGGCTTTGGTCCAATCGATTAAAAAAAATGCTTTGTGGTAACTTGCGATGTATTTCAGATTACACTAAACTATCGAAATTATGCAATTAATTATTAAAATTATAGATAGATTTAAAATAGATAAAACTGATTTTCAAAATAAAGTTTATGGATTCAGAGTTAAAAAGTCGGTAAGTATATTATTCTTTTATTTGAAGTATTTATATGCTTGATTGGTTAATCTAAAGGAAATTTTACTAGAAGAAAATCCACTCGGTCCAGTTATACCTACTTATCAACTATCTCAAGCTGAATAAAAAAGCGATCGCAGAACTTCGTCATTTGGTATACACAGGAAACCTTACGCTTTGCCGGCACAGCGAACGAAGACGACACAGCCGCTAACTTTCTTCATAGGAACAATCGCTAGAGCATCTCGCGTCGGCCAACTGAATGGAGTGGATATGTACCTATAGGTGACACTCACGGTACTGGCAGATCCAGTGCAGGTAGTCCAGGTTGCAGCCTACATCATTCCACGACCACGACCGGCCACCGTCGAGCACCACGCAGTTCTGTTCGCCGTTGTAATTGTTCGGCTGGTCTTTGCCCCACGTCGGCTTCGATACCACTTCACCTGAGAAAGAAAGTCGGGTTTGGTAATTTTTTTTTTATGTTTTATGAATATTATAAAAGGCATAATTAAGAGGAAAGGTTGGCAAACAATATTTTTCTTTTCCAGAAATGTTGGTAAGGAAAACTTGAGAATAGAAGTTGACTTATTAAAAAGTGTCTATCATTCAGAGAAATAGTAAAAATCTTCAAAGATTTCTTCTTATAAATTACTAATTCTTTTTTTATGTATAATGAATATATAAAAGGCATTTGGATTCCTCCGCTACTACCTAAATCTGCACTCATAACGACCCACTGTGATATGAAGGTCTGTGTACCTCAGCATGATAATATAAATTGATGAGAAAATGTTATTTTTGTTTAAAGTCTTTTGCTACCTAGTTCTTTAAGTTAAAAACCAAAATGCGCAGGGGATTGCTAGTCTCAAAAATAACCTTTTCAAATCGACGCAGATAGGTACTAAATAACGTCAAAGCTCTCACCATCAACCCACTTCCAAGTCCTGCTGGTGAGACCAGGCTCCTTCTGTGCCCCGATCCACACCAGTTGCGTCTTGAGCTTGGACTTGCGCCGTTCCAACTCCTGGATCAAGAAGCTGTAAGTAGCTCCCTGTGAAAAGATACAGTTTTCAGGAATTTGAAAAACCAATTCAAAGTCTCCATGACCTTGCTGCTTATAAAAAAGAAAAGTCCTCAAGAACTACCTTTCTATATAAAGATAGACGTGTAAGTCTAGTCTAGGAACTTTAAAATTATTATCACAGAAACGTTAACTAAATTTAATAGATAATTATTATTAACGGTTTTTTTTTGATCGAACTGTTACAATTTGCCTGAAAAACGCGCATACAGGCCAATTAGCCAGTCAGATATTCAATCTATATTTGATTAATTCTATGCATTTATAGGCTGTTTTCGAGGGCTCTTAAAAGCTCTTGAATTGCGTTCGATTCAATGGCACATGTTGTTGATTTGTATTTTATACCAGTCGTAACAGGCAATATATACTATAGTGGCGCGGTAAAGTACGTGCCGAGTCAACTATCCACAACTTGCCACTTTGAAACTTACCCCTTTAATTCTGATATCATATAAAGCTCTGGCAACTTTGCTGCGAATGCGTGAATTCCAAATTACAGAATATTGTTGGTATTGCGACCGAATACCAACAATATTCTGTAATTTGGAATGCATGTATTCTGCACAGTTGAAGGCTGCTTCTGACTACTGCTCTAACCTCTAACTGAAGCGCAAAAGTTTGCTGTGCATCTTTGTCTCAAACGTACACTGGCACAAAAATTAAATTACCTACTTTGAATATTACACGGCATAAATACAAAGGTTCGATGAATTTACGTTATAACGTAAAAGACAAAAACAACAGGTTTTTCCAATTCTTAAATGATTTTATCAATTATCAAAAAACATACTTATCTAAATAACTCATCAAAAGTCACATGAACTATTTTGAATATTTAATCTAATTTTAATATTTTTAATACTTAAGTTATAGATTTGATTAGCATTGATTAATAATTGGTTATCTTATAGTGTCAGAACTGTTTTTTTTTTGTAATATGCCCCTAAGAAAAAAATAAAAACTAATAAGTTCTCACATACCCTTCTTACCCCTATATAAAGGAGTTTGAAGCAAATCACCCCCCCCCCCCCCCGCGCCGTCTATAAGTTCTTCGAGGAAACTTGTAGCCTAAAACCGTCTCTAAGGTGCTATTCTATCTGTATACCAAAAAATATGATAATCGATTTAGTTAGGATTTAGGATGTTTGTATATAACAAAATGTTGTACTAAGAAGCCATAGTTCATTCATTTTTCAGTCTAACAAAACAAACTATGGTTGCTTTGCCGCATAATGCGCTATAATGCTGCAATTGGAAAGCAACCATGTGATTTTAAAATTGAACAGTTATAAATGTGTTGCTCATCAGCATCTTTGTATACATACATACGAATCACACAACGCCGTCCCACAATCCAACCGTCGTCGGTACTCTACTCATTGCATGTAATTAACACACTGTCATTGTGTTTATATTCTAATTAAGCCATTGCCATCGACACCGACGATTGTTTTCCCAACACCATTTGGTAGTACAATGAGAGAAAAGGTCATTTTCACAGCAGCCCAGTCGCGTTCGCTCGCGTGTTTCATGACGGCTGCTCTATCAGAATCGGGTTGCGGCGGAGAAATGTAGGCGTCCATATTTTAACTACACGTTTATTATTATACATTTTTAGAATAAGGAACATCAGTTCAATAGAGTGTTTTAAGAAATGACGTGAAAAGTGTTGTTACTGTAACTGTGATGTTGATGTAGGTTTTATTTTATGTACTCTACACAAACAAAATTATACATTTCTTTGTGTTCTCTCTTCCAGCCGTACCAGTTATACTCGTCACAATTTTGTAATACTTGCTTATCTGATGCTAAGCAGAGCTACTAGTCTACCTGGTGGTAAGTGGTCACTGTCGTCCATGAATACTTGTAGCACTAGCTCACTCATGCGTTGCCGGCTCTGAAGGTGAAGGTTTACCCACCTTTTAAAGATCGCCATATCATAGCTGTTTGGGAAAAACGATGAGGGAAGTTCGTTCCAGATCTTGCTGGTACGCAAGAGAAAGGAACGCGACGCGCGTAACGCACGCGCTCTTCTTACCACAACCAGCAGCTAGTTTTTTTCATCAGGCCTTACCTGGAATCCGTGTATGAGGTCTCCGCCGTGGGTTCGACACTGCTTTCGTGCCTCGTCGAAGGACCCGCCCTTGGCCACGTTGAACTCGTAACAATTTCTGCTGAAGGCAGCCAGTTCGATGTCCGCCGGGGCACCGGAAGGTGTACAGCGGTCGTTCGAGAATTCTGGGGAAATAAAAGCAGTTTTGGATCTCAAGCTCCACACATGGTGCAAACAACCCAAACCAAAAATAATATAAAACAAACAAAATTAATTTGTTGCTGGCTCAGAAAAAATTAGACGCGTATTGTGTCGTATTGTTAAGTCGGAGGACTACTTAAAAGAAGCCTTTTGTTTTTTGTTTAGGACCAACTCTAATCGCGGTCCTTCGACTTCATGATGTTTAGGTGATATACTACTAAAAAGTGATAATAAAGTTAAAGGGCCAGCACACAAAGGACATTGTTCAGCGTCCATACATAGTTAGCCTAAGAACCAACAATCATGAAATATTATTTTCTAGGTTCAAAATCGTAAGTGAATGACTGTAAAAACAAAGATTATTGACGGACACTTCTGAGAACTTCAATTATTAGGAAAACTAAACTTTTTTTGAGGTTATGTTTAATATTCAATGAAACATAGGTCAACCTATGAATTTAGTATAAACTCAGTATGAAGTGAATTAATATTACACCTAGTTAATTCATTTTATTCGGTGCGATTTTAAAGAATAACTATTAGGAAAAACTTGGTTAGGTAGGAATCATGAATAAAATAAAAACTGTAGTTTTGCTTCTTATTATTTATTGACTACTTTTCACATAATTGTATCATATTGTATTTATTTGTTTAACACATGTATATTGTGTAAATATGCAGCGTGAATGTGCTCTTGAATAATTTGGCAGTATGATCCTCTCAGGATGTTGTGGCACAGGTTCATTAGCACTTGGTAATAAGGTCTCTGCTCTTTGGTAACATCGATGGAATATTAGATAGCCGAAATAGTAATAGTTAAATTAAAGGAAAAACAATCGCAAATAAACACACACAACAGGTAATCCGAAACGAGAATTTTCCGTATATAAAAAGTACTCTTTGACGAGAATGCACGAATGCCACAGATTACTACGAATGTAAACTGCCTGCACCACAACCACAGAGTAGCGAGTTTATGCCGGCCCTTCACTTGACAACAGTTTGTCCTTGTCATGCTTAATAAGGCATGAAAAGGACAGACTGATGTCATGTTTTTAAATAGCAAATACGAATAGCCAAGTGAAGTGCCGGCATAACGAAGAATGAGTGTTTTGTTTGCAGCGCTGTCATAGATTATACACATTAAATGGTATTTATTGTCTCAGATTATATAATAATTTTTTAATTTAGCTGACTTAACTGGAAGTGTCCGTCACAATCTAAATACTGATAATTATCGCAAAAAATATACTTAGAATTATCATAAATGCCAAAGTGGTGTTGGTTCTTAAGCCAATTTTAACATTGTCCTTTCAATGTTGATGTTAGTGGCAGTAGAGATACATGCCCGATCAAGTGTCACGTTACTTAGGTGGGCACAGCACCTAAAAGTTACCATGTCTTGGAAATATCACCAAAGTAAAAGTGCATCACATTCTAAATCAATAATAACTGTTAGTGTCGCCGCACACGGGCAACCACAAAACGCCGCCACCATATTTCTTGTAGTTTTCATACATTTTATATGAACTCGCCACACACGGTACTCCGGTGGCCGCCACACGCTACAAATCGTCGTTGCTTGCTTCTTGTGGCCCGCACCGGTCTCTTAATTCGCCGATATAAAACGCCGCCACACGTCACTCGCGAGATTCCCCACCCCTCTCTCCCTTACCTTAGTCGGCCGTTGTCGCGCGCTTCAGCCACTTTAATAGCCGCTTCTAGCTTCTCGTGGCGGCGTTTGTGCCTGTGGTGTGTGGCCCGTGTGCGGCGACACTTAAATTTCTAAAACCGTCATCGCAAATGGGAAATGAGCTGATGATCTCCAAACCTCTGAACAGATTTTCATAAAGTATAGCTAAAAACCATTAAGATCAGGTTAGCTTTCAATTAAAAAAACCGCATCCAAATCGGTCCATTTGTTTAGGAGCTACTATGCCACACACGTGTGTGTGTCAGATACACACCCCCTCTTTTTCTGTCTGATAACGGACTCTTGGTGCGTCGATACGTCATAGGTATTGTTTTAACTTACCTTCAGTGGTGAACACCTCGACTTCGCAGAGGGACAAGGATCCCTCAACACCGACCAACTGCAGGAATACGTGTTGTCCGATGAGTGGTCGAGCACACGTGAAGGTTTTCGTCACACCTTCGTCTGGAAACAAACAACAAATTCAATAAACGCACGCCCGAAATTATCCGAAAATTTTCAAGCCGGTTTAAAGAGTCATGCAACAAGTAAGAATTTGACTTTCTCTTATACCTTTTTTGTAACTACACTTTAAATCTAAAGAAAATATAACTAGAAAAAATTCCACGCGGACCAGGCAGCAGACGGGACTCGAACCCGCACCTTCGCAATCCGGGCGAATGCACTGACCAATTATGCTACCGCGGCCCTCACGGACGTAACTGTTAGTAACTTTTTCTAGTGAATAAGAAACATAAATAAAAATGACATTCTTGTGTTAATGCCACAATCACGACAATCCTAAAATTCTACCATTAAAAAGAGGTGAAGAAAACTTCTACAGGTTCTTTTGTTGAAACAAGAAAATATTACTACCACTAACTTACTATTTCGCTGAAACATAGGCAGGATCTTAAACATTCATTAGTTTTATTTTGTTCAATCCTTAACTGTGAGTTTGTAAGTCTGTCTAACACTTGGTATCTATCATAAGCGAAAAAACAAACGATTTTTTTACAACCAACTTTGGGGCAAGAACGTGTGTATTACGAAATCCGTTCCCAAAGCGATCAACCAATTATTATTTGTTCGAGTGTAGAGCAACACAGAGAACCATCGACCGTGGGAACAACCGATGTGGTTGTCGGTATCTTAGAAAATACACTCGCAGTGAGTTTTTAGAAAGTGTTTGGTTGTTGGTTCTCTCTCGCAATTCTATCATTGATATTATGGGGTTAAATTGGTACTTTCAATTTCATTAAATAAAGCTATTTGATAAGAAATAAGAAACCTTTATATTATTTTTTATTACGCTTTCATGAAACGATCAGCAAGTACGATTGTATTTGTCACTGGGTGGGTCATCTCATCTGTGAGTCGGATCTGGTCACGTAGGTCTGGCTCCGTATCATCAACCACCAAAAAGTATTACTTTGTAAGGGAGCTTGACATTTAAGTTTTTTTGGTATCACCATCACTGGCCACTTAAGATTTGCACCCCATCGCTGTTAGCAATTTTAAATAAATCAAAATATAGGTCAGTAACGAATGCCTTAATACAACTTCTGCCGTCCCTTTTAGTCCGACCGTCATGGGTGTGACCCTTTGGCCCTATGGTGAATACTTACGTTGAGAATACTATAACCGACTTAACAATTTTTTTATTCGTTTTGTGAATAATAAAAAGGAATATGCCAATGGTTGCAGGAAATAAAAATGAGAGCAATATTTCTAACTCAGCCTTTCATAGGATGACCACAAAAAATGCTGGCAATATTCGAAGTTGATCGTTAGGTAGGTATTCATTGGAACGGTGAACCATTCGGGTCGAGTGTTAAAGTAGGCATGCCAATCTAAATAATTGGATCTGTATTCAATATGTTAACGAGAAAATCGCCAACTCCAATTTATTGAGCCTAAACTTGTGTATTAGATTGCAGCGGGTAGCAAAGTGGTAGCGGCATAAACAGGGTGTAAAGAGCTTTTCCCTTGCGTGCGTCAAAGCTTACTTCATGTTTTGAATTGTAACTTAAAAATTTCAAAGACCAACTGTTAACAACCTCTTTATTACGAATTTTCAACTATCAAAAAAAAAGAGTAAATACCTCTAATTAACACGAATTTTGTCAACCAAACTCAACCTCGATATAACGTTTCCATCAATATGTTGCCCTTAGTCCCATAATACGCGATTCATGTCACGGCAGGAAACTATCTTTGTACCTCTTTATAACAAATTTTAGATCAACCTAACCTCAATATAACAAACCTCAGTTTAAAGAATTACTCGATATAACGAATATTTACTTGTTTAATCGAGGTTGCACTGTATATCCTAATAGCGCTCCGCTAACCGCTATCAACAAGCTATCAGCATTATATCAAAAGGGTGACAAGTGCACCACTTGCATTCGCATACCCAATTATTTACTATACGACTCCTACCTACACAATGCCTCAATGCCATATCTATTGCAGTATATCACTTACGAATAAGGTTAGTAGGTGTTCAAATGAATTATTGGTCGGGCGATCACGTAATAGGTAAGGTTGTCGTAAAGTGTTGATTTTAAAACAAACATTACAGTCCAAATAAGAGCAAAGGAAAATAAACCAGCGCAGTCTTTGAGATACACAAAGGGCGCAGTGCATGTCAGATGTAAGGTTCCGTAGCATCGGACAAAAATATTGCAATAAAATGTAAAAGTAATTTATTTTACAAAAACTTTCATTTTCACAAATCATCATTCAATTTAATTATCATAATCTTAATGACATTTTAACAACAGCTAAAATGTGTGAAACGGCGTCGGGCGCCTGCCGCCGCACTGTCGCGGGTAGAGCAAAAAAGCATAAGTGATAACTTGCTATGTGAGAGCATGTGAACATGATTTCCACTTTCGCATCAACATTTATCTATAGAGTAATTAGATTCATTGGTAATTGAAAGCACATTACAGTCTCTAATTATTTAGCAGGCCGTAATGCTTGGGTTTCAACTAATCGAATGTTTCCGATTTTAAATATATTTTTTGAATTGCATTTTTTTCATTTGATCCAGGCTCACTATATAAAAAAAAATACGACTGAGCTTATACTAAATTAAAGTTCCGACTCAGGCAGGTCGATAATTCATTGGATTTTAATGTTTTAATATTTTATAAAGCTATGGCTACATTATCAATAATGTTCTTACTAAACTCATACATATACGCATATACATAAAAAAAATATTTAGTGCATTTAAAATTATCTGAAAAAAGTAGGGTCTTTGGTCCATTTTTATCCTTTACACTACGTACGCAGTCAAAGATTTGCGTGCAAAGACTAATAATATTGTACAGACCATCACAATTAAGACTGACAAAATTGTCTTACTGACTTTAAGCTGCACTAATGACAGTTTTTAGACACATAATAATGTGTGGGGGCTGTCTGCACATAGGTAATCCGCACAACACATTGTTTCACATAACTTTAAAACAGCACAGTGTTTTCCCATCGCCTATTCTCAATCGGTGAGATAACACTCTAACGTAGCGAACTGTATACATAAGTGAAACGGGGGCAAGTTTACAAAAAGCTGTAAAATATGACGAAGAGCGAACTCTAGCGATTTCGTCAGCGGCCTCCTTTTGGGCTCATAAAAATAAGTAGGTAACAACTAACAGTACAGAATATCTACATAAACTATTGTAATAAATATTTGTTTATAAAATATTTCTTTATTCTACGCCATTTTTCATGGTAAATAGGCCAGTGGAACGGTAAATTGGGATATTGGGTGTGCCCTTTTTCATATCACGTGGTTATAAATTAATGTCTGTTTGAGTGTTTAGGGCCAGTTGGAAGTGGATATGTAAAAAATAGTCCATCGAGAATGTGAGTGGACTGTAGGTTTATCACTATAGGTCACGATTGGCAGCTCAGTAGTGTAAACTATTTGCCCGAATTTTTACAACTCCGTAATCGTATCGTAATCGTGAAATTTTATTTGGAGGAAGCAAGTTTGTTCTTACGTCCTGTAGCTTAGGCCTTGATCACACGTACCTAGCAAAAGAGCGAGACAGTGCTCTCGGCCGAGTACGTACGTATAAACATAGAGCCGAGTGCTCGACCGAGCGCTCTCTCTCGAACTCATATAAGAGAGTTTTTAGCTTCCTTCACTGTCTCGGCCGAGAAACATTTTACTGACTCGCCCGTTTATTCGGTACGTGTAATCAAGGCATTAGTTTTCAGTGCTACTTACTTTTCATAGAAACTTTGACGATGCTATAGGATTACTAGTACAGTCAATCTGTCGAAAAAAAAATCGTTTCAATGAAAAAAAAAACCTAAAGGGTAATTCTTGTTTTTTCTGTTGCCAAATGACTTCAGTAAGCCACCTTGGCGATGGGCATGTTCAACTCGTAGGCGTTTTTTGAAAAACTCAAAAAAACCCTCTGTAAGTAATTTAAAAAAAATGTTTATACAAAAGTTGTTGGTAATTATATACGGAACAACTTTTCCATTTATAGTTTTCCATTAAAATGATATTTTCAGGGTGAAAAAGTGAAAAAACTCTTTTTTTGAGACTTTAGCGCCACCTACAATGCGCGTTTTTTGTTGTACGAGATTGCAATAATGACATAAATTGTAGTGCTCAACGCCCTCTACAATTATGGTCGAAAAAAAAGTTTCTAAAATGCATACAAAACAAGAAAAATGCGTTTCAAAAAATTTTTGAGGGTTTTATTGAGTTTTTCAAAAAACGCCTACGAGTTGAACATGCCCATCGCCAAGGTGGCTTACTGACGTCATTTGGCAACAGAAAAAACAAGACTTATCCTTTAGGTTTTTTTTTCACCACTCAACCTACAGATTGACTGTACTATACGGAGCCACGGTAATATTATCTATACAGTATTCTATCTTCATAGAAACGGTCAGAAAGCGTGTCATACCTACGCCACTCGAGTTCGCGCGGCACCCGGTGGGCATCCAGTCGAGAATGCGTCGCAGCGACGACCGAACGGTGTGAATTGTTTTTTAAGCAGTTAGCCGTGCTTAAACGTTTGTATTGTGAATATGTGATTGAATTAAGTAGATACCTACATAATTTAATATGGCAAAGAGCAATAGTCGATATTTTCCTGATTTTAGTTGCTTGAACTCTTCAATATTTAAACTTTTTATACGAATGCGTATTTATTATACTATTAAATTTAATATTAATGCTTTTTGTACGTCTCAGTCGAGTCGTAAATATTTTTCTGTCTCAAATTAAAATAACATATATTTTATGTAATACTTCCTAATCCATTCACAACATTATTTTTTTTAACATATGAAATAAAATATTTACAATCACGAAACTAGAAAGAAACTCAATTATGTAGATGAAATGAAAATACTGTAGGCGGGTAGCCCTACCGCGTGGATACGACCCGCTCGGCCGTAGGCAGTTATTTCAAGGACAGGGCTGAGTCACAATACTGTATAGATAATATTACCGTGACGGAGCTATCAAAATTGTTGTGCCAAGAGTGCTTCTGTGTCAGTTCTGAAATACATTCAACAATTATATAGTAATATTAATATATTTTTCGATTTTAAATAAAATTACTTACTAAATTGTATGTACCCGTTATTCAATGCATAATTACTTAAAACAAGGTTCAAGACCTAATATTTTCGTCATGATTCCTTAAACTTTTAATTTAACTATGCTCTTAATTGAAATCAGTGGTGATTGAAAAGTATTCAATGTACTCTACTCGTGAACAATACTTGTCTACCTACTTAAGTAACTACAATAATCTGACTGACATTCATACAAGTAGTTTACTTTGATCACAAGTACGGAAGCATAGCAAGGTCGTATACTGCCCGTAGCACATTAGTTTTATGCATATTTAATTGATACATGTTTATTTTTAAACGGCAAGTATGACCGTGAAAGGTTTGCTCTCGAATTAACTGCATAATGCTGGGGTCTTGTCTTGCTCGGTTCGAATCGGTAAAGCAGAGATCGAATTTCTTTTATACATTGTGTTACTTTGTTGGTGTCCCACGATAAAGTGTATCTTGAAAGTAGGTGTACCTAGACCACGAATTAGCTATAATAATAAGTCTTCCACTGAGAGATTGGAATGAATAGGAATTAGGGGTGGTATTGAAAATTGATAGCGATATGTTTCGCGACATGTGGAAATAGTGGCAAATGAGAGAATGAGGAAAAGTAACGACGCGATAGTGGAAAGGATGTAAGAAGTCGGGGAAGACCAAGATTCTACTAGTACGATCGTATTCTGTGACATCATAAGCTGCAAAAGCCGGACATGCATGATAAGAGGTACGTATGCAAAAGAATCGAAAGATGTGAGTATGGATCATGCCTTTTAGTTTAAGATCCTGCCGCTCGATTTTGCAGCCATCTGTTTCTTAACGCGACTTAATTTAAACAATTCATTCGTGACTTAAAAATTGCCGCATAAACCTTTGATTAAATTTAGTGACATTCATTAATGAATATTGCATTCATAAGTTGCAAGTAAGGAAATGGAATACATAAAACAATGAAATACATAAAACAATGGTTGACGGCTCTCAAATAATCAATATTACTGTACCTTGTACCTACATAACGCCACTCTAGTAACTTTACAGAATCGAGGATCAAAGTTTTTATTTTTCACAAAAAACCCATTACTCGTTGTAATTGAGAAGTTGCACCATAAAATAAAAATATAGTCATAAAATAATATTTTCTATATATCCTCCTATTAAAAGTTTACATAATGCCTTTACGAAATAGATGTCGCTTAAGCGAAAATCAGATACCTTTTTTGTCAATCAAACAAATCATACGCCAAATAGTAGGGCGCAAACGCCAAACACCAAAAATATGATGTATAATATAACTCATTTCTGACCAAAGTGGCGTATTAGAGATTTTGGTTTTCCACTGTCGATATTAATGTTTTTATATACTAGCTACTTACCAATAGTTCCCGGGAACCACGCACAAAGTGGGTTCCTTTGAAGGTCTGAGCTGCTGTTGCCGACCCTGATCTCAAGGTCTTGAAGAGGTTGATGACCTGCGAATTAAAGTATTAAGAAATTTTATTTCTCATAATTATCATTTATTTTAATGTGAGTCGCACCAACTTACTTTAACGGTCATGTCTGAAGTCTTAGGCTGCGTTGTTTCATTGATAATAAAATTTTACTATAGTTCGTCAAATATATAGTAAATATGTAAAATTTTGATAAATGTTTATTTATTTCTATAGAATTTAACTATTGTCAAATTTAACTTTCGATGAAACAACGGGGGCATCAGTAAAATTTTAACTTTTAACTAGCTCTGTGCTGCAATGTTCAAATTCTAGCGTTGGAAGCTTTAACTAGTTATGCTGAAACAAAATTGAAATGAAACATGTGTATATTCTCACTGTAACAGTTACATGGAATAATATTTTCGAATTTATCTGTGTCCAATCACAATGGTGAAATGTTTTTTTTTAACTCGCTGCCATCAAATTAATTTAACCATTGGTGATTTATACAGTTTTCTCACGACGATTTAGTTTATGTTATACTAACCATTCAGTATTGTATAGGTGTGATAATGATAGATATCTGTTGGAAAGTTAAATTAGCTGTGAACTTGTGTAATTATTTAAGTACTTATTAGAAATGGTATGTATTTAAATAATCGTCTTAATGATGGGAAAAAGTAAGCAATAAAATCTAAACTGTTATTTTTTTTAATGATTGATTATCTTTTTATGAGACATAAAATAAAGCAAATCTATCGATATTTTAAACTGTTTCGAAAAAAGGGCATAATTATTTTCAACTGCCTAGAAGAAATTTGCTCTGGGACCCCTTACGACTTCCGTTAACATTTTCATTTCATAGTTCGAAAAGGCATTATACAGAAAATTTTACTAGAAAAAAACGGACCAGGCAGCAGACGGGACTCGAAGCCGCGCCCTCCGCTGTCCTGGCGGATGCACTGACCATTATGCTACTGCGGCCCTAATTGTCCGGGTCAAATTTTCTCTAGTCTTTCTTAGGCTGCAAGGCAGCGCCGTCTTTCTGCATTGTAGGTAAACCACAATGTGAAATGAATACCATTACAAGTATTAATCATTTGAAAGAAGAAATAGCAATTATAGTTGTATTTTTATGCATTTAACTGATAGATGTTTAAATCTAAAGAAAATTTTACTAGAAAAATATCCACGCGGTCCAGGCAGCAGACGGGACTCAAACCCGCACCCTCCGCTATCCGGGCGGATGTACTGACCATTATGCTACCACGGACCTAATTGTCCGTGTCATATTTTCTCTAGTATTTTAGTCAGTTAAATGCTTAAAAAATAAAAATAAAGCTCAATTATGTTATGGTACTATAGTTGCTGAGACTCACCGCAGCATCTTCGCGTGGTGACTCTGACCACTTTGACTGCGTATTGCCGCAGGAGGTTCACTTGCCACCAGGGCCAGACCTCTCGATGTATCTCAGTGCAATACTTGCTATCGAGCTCACTGGGCCTCTAGTCAAGTAGTAGTGTAGTTATTGAAACTTACCGCAACATCCTTGCGTGGTGACTCTAACCACTTTGACTGCGAAGTGTCGCAGTAGGTTCACTTGCCACCAGGGCCGGGCCTCTCGATGTGTCTCAGTACAATACTTGATATCGAACCCACTGAGCCGCTAATCAAGTAGTAGTGTAGTTACTGAAACTTACCGCAACATCCTCGCGTGGTGACTCTGACCACTTTAACTGCGTAGTGCCGCAGTAGGTCCACTTGCCACCAGGGCGAGGCTTCTCTCTGTGTCTCAGTGCACCGTTTCCCATCATGTTCGGTGGTTTTTTCGCCGTCATTACCATTAGCTGCGGCCCCACCGCGGACTGTGGTCGACTGGTTCGCTGGCTTTCTGAACGCGACGTTAGTGCCTGTGTATCAAACACAGCTTAATGATGTACATTATCACATACAACAAATCGTACTTCGATATGTCCATATTTTTTGATTATTTACTAATCAAAGGTCCATATATATGTATATTATAGACTTTATAAATTATTGGAGTCTATCAAATGTAAAGTCTGTGTGGAACTTAGTTGCGAAGATATAGGGCACAGGAAAAGAAGAGGCTCATAAGGATTCATGATATTCTGAATAATCAAACTATTCAACTTTTAATCTCAATTTTGATGATAACAGTTTAACTAGAAGTTGGTCTGTACCCAAATATAAAGGGAACACTGTATATTTTACATACTAGATTTCAGTTCTTTTTAACATTAAGTCAGGAAACGAAGTAAATATTATATTACATTTAAAAAAGTAAATTTGCAATGAGCTCTTTCCTGAGCCTTTCTTAGGTTGGGAAAACATTGCAGTCAAACCTTGTCGATTTGAACCAATACATTGCCGTGTTGCTTACCCTGATCCAATGCCCGGCCCCGAGAAGATCTACCAAGTCAGGTCATAAATTCTGTCACATGCTTGATATTAAATAATTGAAACAAGTTTATTCATTATCTAACTATTTATATACCAAAATGAACTTAACAAAACATAGATTCTTATGACAATAAAGTTTATTCAAATTGACCTCCGTGATTTTGAATACAGGCCTTCAATCTGCACGGCCAGTCTTTTATCGCAGCACGAACGAGGTCCATGGCAGTAGTCAACAAAATTTTTTTCATTCGAAAAAATAATATACCAATTTTTTTTCCCGCGTACCACTTCAACAAAGCGCGGCATCTCTTCAGTCTCAGGTCCATTAGTCGAGCATTCTAACGATGTCCTGTTTTTCTTCGATATGCCCGAAGCCCTAAGTCTTCATTTAACACCCTTTTTACCGTGGTTCTGCTTAACCCCATCTGAAGGGTCAACAGTTTCTGCTTACGTTTGGGATTTCTTTGAATTCGCGCCTTCGCAGCTTTTATCACTGCTGGAGTCCTAACAGACCGAGGGCGACCACTTCTTGACCTGTCATCTACACTAGAGTCTTCATTGTATCGTTTGATGGTACGATAAACGAATCTTTTGGTTACATTAAAATTTTTCAGTATATCAAAAATTTGAATTGGCTCGTAACCCCAATGATGCAACGTAATAACTGCAACACGGTCTTCTTTAAGCATCCACTCCATATTTAAAAATGAGTAAAATTCTAAAAAGTATATATTTTTATTTTCATGAACAATTCGAAATTCGAATTCAATAAACTTTTTTGTGGCCAGCATTCTAAAAGAAAAGTTTTTACTGTGTGACAATACTTATAACCTGACTTTGTATATAAGCCTTACTCGTTAGAGGAACACATTATTGTATACTCCATTATTTATCATATATTATGTGACTGTAGTCTTTTGAAAGTTGGAGGTTACATCATCAGACGCGTGTTCAAATTCGAGTTACAAAAATCTGCTACACTACTTGCTTTGCATATTTTAAGGGGGTCAATAACTGAGTGAGAGATAAGAGTTCACTCATTACGAAGTCAGAGAGAGACTTTTACATTTACTACTTAGCGAATTTACAGTAGGAGAGGAAGACTAGAAGTTTAGACTCCTTCAATATCGTTCATCCCTGTAAATTGACTTGCAAGTCACCCACTTAATAACGAGGTCTAAGAAGGTTGATTGTCGAATCAGTGTGTCAGTTTCGCATCGCTTATGAAAGGTGATCTAAGAAGGTTCAACGTGAAAATAGCGCTTACCACAGAACGGTTGCTCTGCGGTCCAGTCGCCCCGAAGTGTGCACTCCCGCTGGTGCGCCCCGAACAGTTCGTAGCCATCGTCGCACTCATACGACGCCGTCGTCCCGGGGACGATGACATCAGCTGACAGCGAAACGCGAGCGTTTGGAGGGACGGCAGGGTGCCCGCATTGTCTCTCCCCTGCCAAACAAAAAACGAGCGATTATGAGAATCGGAAGAATATTGATATATCACGATGTGATCCTGAAAATACTCTGCATTCATACATAACTTTTAGCTGTAACAAACGAAGATATTGCATTTTAAACTCTTTGGTAGAGCCTGGATTACCACCGAACTATTTAAAACTGAAGATTGGCTTAATAGTCATCATCATGCTTCAAAATCTAATGATATTAAAGCATATAATAATATTTTTTTAAGTACGATTATTTTAATTTTGGGGGTTTTGATTGGGGTAGCTTTTTTATACTCTTTTAGAGCGAATAGTTTTAGGGTATATTCAAATTCGTAAAGTTCCTAATAAGGTTGGGTCTATTTTTCCCAACCAAGATTGCAATGGAACTAATTTGGCAAAACATAATATCCTGAGTAATCAAAGAATTCAACTTATACTGTATATTTTACACACTATATTTTAGTTCTTTTTAACATTAGGTCAGAAAACGAAATGAATACTATACTTCATTTAAAAAAAGTAAATTTGCAATGAGCTCTTTCTTTTCCTGAGCCTTTCTTAGGCGGGGAGAACATTGCAGTCAAACCTTGTCGATTTGAAGTTTTTTTCTTCCGCATGAAATTAAAACTAAAACTTTGATATATCACAAGGTGATCCATTTAGGTCTTAGGATAATCGACACGAGTGCTACCCATGCAGCAAAATGCAATCTTCTAAAAAGCAATTAGGTACCTACGTTTAAATTTTTGCGTCAAACGTCTTTGAAGTACACTTTATTAAATTTTCATTTTAATATATTTATATCTATTAAACGAATACTGTTTAATTTTTTGTATATTTTTCGGTTGGTAATTAAAAGATACAATATCTAAAGGCTCTAAGGGTACGAAGGTACAAAATACTACAAGAACTTAAGAAAACATGTTTTAGAAATCCGAATACAAGAATAACCATCAATCTAAACCAAAATCAGTAGTATCATTATTATATTCACTTTTGTAGAAGATAGGTACATATTTTCCCACCAGACAATGAAATGCGTCGGTAATTGAAGCAGAGACTGAGCCAGTCATATTACAGGGCTATTAAGTAATGAAAGTATCATTCGAGTCATGTTTATGTTACGGAAGCACATCGTGATTGCTGTTGCAGCTGGCGCTTGCACGCGACTTATGAGTAGTTCATAAATTGATGGAATTCTTTGCAGCTTTTCTTCCTTGTGAGCTTATTGTTACACCTTTCTTTTTATGTCTGGAAAATGCATTATATATCCCTCTCCCACCGGGAGCAACACGCAGGTATCTGCGACCCATTTCAGGTCGATGAAATGAGCAGCTCCCTACACAGTAGAACCAGATATTACTCCTGCACCGGTCAGCCGACACGCACTATGAGGATCGAAGTCCCCCTAGTGCTTTTCGAGAGTGCGGATGTGGTCGTGGCACCCGATTAGCTTATAGCCACACCTGCCAAAAGTAAAGGACAGATTCTTCAGTGGCTGCTAGCTGCTATTAATTTCAAAATGCTACTTATTATATACCAGAACACGCAACTTCAGGTTAAAAGTGGAGTAAGTAAATTTTTGAAGTGAAAACTTCTTTAGCGGAGTTGTACACTTTTATTGTAATGGGTAAAAACTGTTAAAGTCGCGTCAGGACACGTGGCCTGATCGCGTCAGTCCTGACGTCCTGATTAGGTCACATGGACACGTGATCTAATCGAAAATTCGTAAGACGAAAACAATAAAATTGGAAAGGTTGTTGCCTTTCAATATACTGGACGAAATATAGTTATATTTTATTTTATCGTATTATAATAATAAGGGCGCTTTCAAATTATGCGTTTCTTGACGGCCTGCTGCGGTGCCGAAGCGGTGCGTTTGTCGTACAGTGTACGGACGATCCTTTTTTTTCATACAAAACGCGCGGTGCGGCAACAGTGCGGTGCCGGTACCGCGAACGCTTGACAAGCACCGCAGCAGGGTGTCAAGAAATGCATAAATTGAAAGCGCCCTAAGTCTCTAATTAGGACGTCCAGGTGGCAGCTTTATTGCGAAGAAAATGCATTTTTGTTACAATAGATGTCGCTAGGTGCGCTTAAATGTGATTCATGTAAGTTGATTTTTCTGAGATAAAAACTTTTTAAAGTACAATGTAGTCGTGAGATCTACAATAATGAATACTTTAATGCCTTACTCTCCTATAGGTGTTACCTAACTCATGGCTTTTTATATTATGAGTATTTTCCCATGGTTTCTATGGTCGAGTTATTAAGACATTATAAACTGCTTCCAAGCAAATCTTATTTTTTTTTAATAAAATTAAGACAGTTTCACTTAAGTGATGGGAAGCTGGCATTGTATCTGAAATCTGTCGCCTAATGCGGGTTGCATAATAAGGAAATGGAAATTTCGTAACGTTGAAATAATTTTATGTAAAATGCTTGACACTCCGTCTGTTACCGCCGCCGCCGGTCATCGCGTCACGTCATGTCACGTCACTGCAGATTATTCGCGTTACAACCGCACACACATTGTCGGAATAATTATGTAACTTTTTTAATCGTTCTTTATGTTGAGAATAGAAAATGCTAGTCTTACGCACTGGGTTAAAATTAAAAAAAATATGTAGTAACTCACATCTAAATGGCTCGCATTGGTAAGCGTCTGCGTGTAATACTCATATTTTGCCTACCCTGAACCCATCCTGGACAAACTTGACGACCTCCGTGGCCGGGTTGTTTGTACGCCGGGTTTCATGGTGTAGCCGACTCGAGAGGTCCCAGGTTCGAATCCCGGTGGGGGCAGATGTTTGTGTGATGAATACGAGCATTTGTACTCCAGTCATGGATGTTTAATATGTATTACTATATAAACATACTTACATATGTACAGTATATGTATTCTATCCGTTACCTTAGCGTTGGAAATAATTATTATTTATATCATCTGTCCGATGAAACCCTAGAAACCTTATTTCAGACAGAAACACAAATAATACCTCCAAAAGTGTTGCCTGTGTCCATTTCTGGTCACGATTCTCTCACGATTGCAAGAAAACAACCGTACCGAAGGTTTTTTAAAACACCTTTATACTTTTCAAATTAATTGCATATTATAAATTACATGTATTTTATGAACAGCTGCATTTTTTTAAATGCATTAAAATAACAAAGCACTATCATTCATTTATTTTCATTCGACCGATATAATTTGTTTTTAATGTAATTTTTTGAGTTACTACTTTATTCGTTCGAATAGAACAGATACGCAGTTTCATGATCACAATAAAATTTATAAAATAGCGAAAAATATTCAGAAATAACAAAAAAATGATATGAGAAAAAAGTAAATACGGTATGTAAATTATTTTTAACATGTTTTCCATTGCAGCCGTCCATATTATAATCAAATTCGAGAGAGATCACTCTTATTACGATGCAAACGTGTGTGGTGCTCAGTGACCGTAACGGGATTCATTGCGTATATCCTAAGATAGCAGTATTCAGTGAACGGTGCGAACTCAGCGTTGCACTGCATCAATGCAATTTTGTTGCGTAACAGTGTGCATCGATATATTTATTATGTAACTATTTTGATTTCCTGCAACGTGTATTTTGTTTCTGTTGTTTATGTCGTTAGACTTTTTTATGTAACTTTCGGGAAATAGTTTACTATGGAAAAAGTTTAAAGAATTATGCTATTGACGTTCAAATGATTCATAACTTAATACAGCCTAGTATTTCTCATTAGTTTGGAGTATTTCTGAAAGTAATGCGAGTAAAGTTACCCTTTGTATTGTATTTTTGTGTCCTTAAGTTAAATATGCGTGAAAGAATGATTATGCTTTCGAATGAATGTTTTTTTCATATTGATGTAAATATATAACCTTCATACACAAAACCTGTACCTGCTTCAAAAGCTGTGCTATAAAATTATCTTGGCATCGTATGAGAATTATATTCAAGGGCAAAATGTATGTAGAACATCATAATAATAACAAGTACCTACTTAAAATTTGAAGCACTAAACAACATGATTATGCCAAAAATCAACAATCAGCGGCAAAGGAACACGAGGACATACAGCCATTGTGTTTCGGGCAGCATGAGAATTTGAGAAGCTTTGTTAGATAAGCGAGCCTTGACGTAGGCTCATGCTTTCGAAACGAAATGCGAGCGAAATTCTAATGCAACGGAACTATTAAGTACTTACCGGAACGTTCATTGAGTTATAATCGTACGTAGTGCATTATTATACCTTACTCAAATGGTACTTTACGAAATTGTGTATATATAGAAACCAAAGCACATCTTATATCTCGGAAAACTTTTTAAGCCAAAATCATGGACAACCAACGGTTCCTGCTCAGTAGTAATTTTACATACAAAAACGCCTCCTGCAATTTGAGAGGTGCAATAAATTAGAACATTTATTCCATTCCATAAAGAGGTCTACCACGTAACCACATTTATATAAAGTTAATATTAAAATCAGATTGTATGACTTGTTCGTAACAAAATGTTTAGTGTAACCTAAACAATTGTAATACGCACTTTCCCGTTTTATGCTAACATCTGGCATTATTCTCTAAACCGAAACTTAAATTTGACAACAGTATATCCTTGTCGTACTCTATAGAGTATGAAAAGGAGAGGCTGATGTTAAATTTAGTTTTAAGTTTAGAGAATCATGCCAGAGTCGACACCATTGTGTCGACACACATTCTATTTACATAGCTTGAATATAAATTGTACTTGGCATTTTTTTTATTCTTTTGAATTGTAACAATTACCTAACGTTTTATGTACATGTCACGTAAACCTACGTGTGATCGATCGTAAGTAGAACGAGATCAACGGAACATACGTGACTGTTGTCGATTTTGATCAAAAAAAAGCTTTTATATAACTTGATGTTTTAATATTATTTTTTTCGAACATATTAAATATCAATATATCATTATTGTCAAGAACATTAATAGAATACAAAATGTCTAGTTAA